CGATGGCCGCGCCTAGACCTGTCCGAATGCGTGTTGGTCAAAAAGCCTAGGACTGAAGGTGGCCTGGCCGAGGGTCCTGAGCATCAATGGAACAGACGTGGCAAGTTTTGGCAGTGCTCTGTATGTTACGTAGGCTCGAGGGCGAAGGATCTCCCCTTGCCTGGACGTTGCTCTGGGGTTCAGTCAGCTGTGCGCACTAATCTTGATGTTGCAGACCAGCTCGGCCACTGTGTAGTCGTTCTCACTTGCTCAGACGGTGTGGATTGCTACCTGTGCACAGTTTGCGGTGCCTTCCTTCACCGAGGCAGGTTCGAGAAAAGCGGACTTTCCTCTGCATGTTTTGGGAGTCTCAAGCGCCACGGGCGCACTAATTACAACAGAGCCCTACGGGGCCGCCGCCCGCGAGAGCCCGATCTCAGGGTGGACCCCCTCTCCTCTGATCCTCCTCTTCCTCCCTCGGTGCGGGGCGGCGGGACGGGGTCGGAGCTGGGGGGGGGGGTGACACTTACGATGAAACAGGACAGCTCCGTCGTGCGGACACCGCCTCCCGGAGGGAGGGTAGTGCCGCGGGAGCGTCCTCAAGCAGACCTCACTTCTCATCGGGTTCGTCCGATTAGGTCTCTGCTTCCATTGAGCGACGGCTCATAGCTGCGGTTCTCTTTGAACTCACGTCCTGGCTGGAAGCGTTTCTCTCCCACGGGGTATTTATGCTTTAAGCTAGGCGTGCAAAGGCAGCACCGTCACTGCAGGAACTCGCCCATCCTGTTTTATTGCTGGGGCAACGGTGCCTGGATGTCAAAAAAATCCGCTTTCAGCATTGCCTGGGTAGTGCTGCTGGCGACTGAGAGGCACGCTGTCGCACTGCCCGCGATAGGTCACACAAACATCGGAGGCGAGAGAGGGGGGGAAGTGAGAGCGAGAAGGCCTTCTCAGAAGGCGGTGGGGCTTCCCAGAAGCCCTCCGGCCTTCTGAGAGGTTTTCTGTGTCTTCTGGGAAGGCTTAGGAAACTTCTCAGAAGGCCGGGGAACTTCCGAGCCTTCTGAGAAGGCCCGCCCCCTCTCACTTCCCCCCCCTCGCTCGCCGCCGGTCAGAGGCATGCTGTCGCAATGCCCGCGAGAACCACGAGGTCAAACGGACAAGCCTCTCGTCCTACCCCGCACCCTTCCGCCCCCTGTCCTTTCGGAGCACAAGGCCGCCGGTCGAGGCGGGAGGCCCGTGTTTTGCCGGGCTGCTGAGGGGGAAGGCCCGGCCCGCTGGACGCCGGTCCTGGCCGCCCAGAATCCGGGCATCGTTCGGACGTGTGCATGTGTTCCCGCGGCGAGGACCATCGAGGAACATCCTGGATCCTGTGGCAACAAAAACAACGCGCGAGACCGACACATGCACGGGAAATGGACGTCCGAGCGATGGCAAGAAATGTGGCCCGAGTATTTTGGTTGGGTTCATCTAGCGTGAAAAGGAGGAGGCGGAGGAGGAGGAGGAGGAGGAGGAGGAGGAGGAGGAGGCGGAGGAGGATGAGGAGGAGGAGGAGGAGGATCAGGAGGAGGAGGAGGAAGAGGAGGAGGAGGAGGAGGCGTTTCTGGCCTTTGGGGGAGCCTCGAGGGACCTCCGGAGGCCAGCGGGGACCTCCGGGGACCGTTGCGGTGCGTCTTCGGGGGCGTTGCCTAAGACTCGGGGAAACGCAGGGCTCGGGGCTTTAAAGGGTCCCCTGGAGGCGCACAAGGGGGGCGAAGGAGGCACGTGTCTTCGCCCCCCCCCCCCCCCTTTGTCGCCCCCCCAATGTAACAGTCAATCCGCATGGTAAGCATGGGCGGTCTTCCCTTAAGGGTACCCGTGCATCCTTGCCTCCTGGGTCCATTCTTGGCCACTTTCGTTGGCCGCGCCCCGCTCTAACAGCTTTGCAATGGGCGTCCAAGGCCCCTGCATCCTTATCGCACCATACTGGTCGACTGTACGACTCGAGTAAGCCGGGACTCGGGTTTGCCGGCGTTTTTTGACGAGCGCGTCCTGGAGATTCTGACGGTCCAGTTTTCGTGGGATGTTTGCAGCGGGAACTCGCGTCAAATTTCAGATTGGGTCTCGTCATTTTCATGAGTTCCCCTTACCCGAGTCTTACGTCTCCCCGATAAGTGGCGGCGGTTTGTCCTTGTGTCAGACGTGGGCTTGCTTCGGATTCGGCGCAGATTTGCAGCGGATTCGATGTGGATCGCGCCCGACAGGCAGTATGATTTTTCGACGTGGATAGCGGCGCGGTGGGACATACAGGGTCCCCCGAAGATTCAGTATATGCAAGGACCTCCAGGGGTCCCTAAGGACCTCCAGGCTACACCACTGCAGTCGGTGGGGTCAGAGGCTCGCGCCGCATTCACACATGCATCGGCGATGCGGCGAGATCCAGAGCACGAGTTTTCCTCGTGGCGTCGCAGATGTATCTATCGGCCGTTTTGAGTTTATCCTGGAACATCTGAGATCGTCCTGGGACGGTCGGGAGGATGAGTGAAACGACCATGAGGAGGGATGCTGTTGCTGCTGCTGATGATGATGCTGTTGATCATCATTGTTTTTGTTACGCTGATGAGTATGATGATGACTATGCTGATGATGATGATGATGATGATGATGGTGACGATGGTGATGCTGATGCTGATGATGTTGATGTTGATAGTCATGATGCTGATCATGATGATGATGATGATGATGATGATGATGATGATGATGATGGGGATGAGGAGGACAAAGACGATGATGAGTATGGATGGTGATTATGCGGATGACGATGATGCGTAAGCTGATGATGATGATGGCGACGATGGTGGTGGAAGTAGTGGTGGTGCTGATGATACAGGCGGTGATGCTGGTGACCATGATGATGATGACGATGCTCTTGCTGCTGATGATGAATATCATGATGCTGTTGATGATGATGCTGGTGGTTGTGGGGGGCGATGATGGTGATGCTGCTGATGATGATGGTGTTGACCATGATGATGAGGGTGATGATGATGCTGTTGATCATGCTGAACTGATGATGCTGCTGCTGATGATGATGCTGATGCTGATCTGCTGCTGCTGATGATGATGCTGATGCTGATGCAGGCGCAGGTGCAGATGCTGCTGATGCTGAAAATGACGATGAGTCTGATGATGGTGATGATGCTGATGCTGATGATGATGCTGATTATGACGATACCGACGAGTCTGATGATAATGATAATGCTTATGATGCTGGTGCTGATGATGACGATGACGATGACGATGCTGGTGATGCTGATGATGATGGTAATGATGATGATGTTGTTGGTGGTGGTGATGATGATGATGCTGATGATTATGATCCTGATGATGATGGTGCTGCTGATGATGATCAGTATGCTGCTGATGATGGTGCTGATGCTGATAGTGGTGATGACGATGGTGTTGATGAGGCTGATGATGATGATGACGATGGTGATGCTGATGGTGATGATGATGATGGTTGTCATGATGATGATGATGATGATGTTGATGATGATGATGCTGATGATTATGATGATGATGATGATGATGATGATGACGAGGATGATGATGATGATGATGATGATGATGATGATGATGATGATGATGCTGATGATGATGATTATGATGATGATGATGATGATGATGATGATGATGATGATGATGATGATGATGATTAGTATGATGCCGACGAAAACGACGACGATGACGATAGTGATGACGCCGATGATGATGCTGATGCTGATGATGATGATGATGATGATGATGATGATGATGAGGAGGAGGAGGAGGAGGAGGAGGAGGAGGAGGGGAAGGAGGAGGAGGATACTGAGTGGCGAGGAAGGGACGAAGGGACGAGGAACGAGGCTGGCGGATTCGGTGTGAGGGAGGAGGAGGCGGGAGAGGAGGAGGTAAGGTAAGGTAAGGTAAGGTAAGGGAAGGCGCTTGGGGAGATGAATCCAATCGGCCGAAAAAAACCCAATGGGCTCTTCTGGTCTGTCTGCGACGGGACACTTGGGAAGGGCCCCCCTCTGGGCCTGCACGCGGGAGCGAGCGGTGGGACGCCGGCCCTCGGCCCGCTGCCGCCACGCGGGGGGGACCCCCTAAGACGGGTCAGTTCGACAACATTTCAAAGGGGGGGGGATGTCGTCGCCTCGTCACGTGAGGGTCGGGCTCCCCTGGCCGAATGGCACGGACGGGAGAGGGGCGGCGGCGGCGGGGCGGCGGCGGGGTCCTGGAACTTGTTGAACGGGCGCGCGCGCGCGAGGCGCGCGCTTTCCACTCACTCTCGGTCCCCTCCCTCCCCCCCGCACCCCCCAACCTCACCCCGCCCAACCACACACCTACCAATAGTCTGGCTCTGGTGGTCCCCTTCGCCGAATTAAGGAGTCGCTGGCTTGCACACTTGGCTCACTTCGCTCTAGTCTGAGCAGATCTCTGAGAGTATTCCATTTTTGTAGTCATCACTTCTCCCAGTAGTATCCCCCATATCCCGTGTACTGTATTGCCGTGACGGAGGAGGAGGAGGAGCAGGAGGAGAGTGATGATGATGCTGATAATGATGCTGATGATGAGGAGGGAGGAGGAGGGAGGAGGACGAGGAGGACGAGGAGGAGGAGGAGGAGGAGGAGGAGGAGGAGGAGGAGGAGGAGGAGGAGGAGGAGGGAGGAGGAGGAAGAGGAGGAGGAGGAGGAGGAGGAGGAGGAGGAGGAGGACGAGGGGGAGGCGGAGGCGGAGAACAAGGGCAAGGAGGAGAAGGCGAAGCACGTGGAGGGCAAGGAGTAAGAGGATGAGGACGAGCACGACGAGAGCAAGGATTAGGACGAGGAGGAGTAGGGCAAGGATTAGGAGGAGGAGGAGGAGGAGGAGGCGGAGGAGGAGGAGGAGGAGGAGGGGGAGAAGGAGAAGGAGAAGGAGGAGGGGGGGGACGAGGCAGACGACGACGAGGAGGACGAAGAGGGCCCTGTGCGGCACCGCCGCCGGGGCGGCCTCCTGCCACGAGCCAGGTGGTCGTCGACGTCCTGCCGGGGCGCGCAGTCGGTGGAGGGGGGCAGCCTGGCGACGTCGCGCGGGGTGGCGCGGCCGCCCGCCCGCCCAGGGGGCGCATCCTGGGGGCGAAGGTCGCCCGATCTGTCGACGGGAGACTGTTTTTTGTTCGGTCGACAAGAAAAAGACGCGCCAGAAACATCGCTCCCACCATCGTCCCCGCCTGTCTTTGTCGTGTGTCGGCGAAAAGCGCCACGGACACAAACCTGTGGCGGTCCGCGCGGATTTCTTGGATCTGCGCCAGAACCCCCCTGGCGGCGCCTCCGGCGCCGCTCCTGGCGCGCTCCGCGCGCCAAGGGGGGGGGCGTCCAGCTAAGATCAAGGAAATCTGCGCGGACCGCTTATGCTAGTCCCCACATGTTTCGTGGGGTTCTGGTTTTTCCCCACATGTTTGCTGGGGTTTTGGTTTTCTTCACTGCCGCGCCGCACCCGCGTCTCACCTCCTCCTCCTCCTCCTCCTCCTCCTCCTCCTCCTCTTCCGCTCCCTCCTCTTCATTCCTCCCTCACCCACAGCACAGCACAGCACAGTTCCCCACATGCTTCGTGGGGTTCTGGTTTTTCCCCCACATGTTTCGTGGGGTTCTGGTTTTCTTCCCTGCCGCGGCGCACCCGCGTCTCCTCACCTCCCCTCCTCCCTCTTCTTCCTCTCCTCACCGACGCTCAACACATGCACGGCAAGTACATGACACACGCGTCTACATATGGCCGCACGCATGCACACACGCAAACAGCACACACACACCATACAACGCTAGGGCGCGCCTGGCGTGTTCACTGCATCACACATCCACGACGTGTGCGCCACATAGTGGGCACCCACATGATACACGCCCCGATATGGCCGCTATGCACGACAGTCGTCCAGGCATAGCACTTCCTCGACAAAAGAGGGGGTGCGCTGGGGGTGGGGGCCCTATGTGTTTCGGGCTCGCAATGCGTGGCAGGCGTGGCACTTCCTCGACACCAGAGAGGGTGCGCTGGGGGTGGGGGCCCTATGCGCTTCGGGCTCGCAAAGCGTAGCAGGCGTGGCGCTTCCTCGGCACCAGAGGGGGTGCGCTGGGGGTGGGGGCCCTATGCGTTTCGGGCTCGCAAAGCGTGGCAGGCGTGACACTTCCTCGACACCAGAGGGGGTGCGCTGGGGGGTGGGCCCTATGCGTTTCGGGTTCGCAAAGCGTGGCAGGCGTGGCACTTCCTCGACACCAGAGGGGGTGCGCTGGGGGTGGGGGCCCTATGCGTTTCGGGCTCGCAAAGCGTGGCAGGCGTGGCATTTCCTCGACACCAGAGGGGGTGCGCTGGGGGTGGGGGCCCTATGCGTTTCGGGCTCGCAAAGCGTGGCATGCGTGGCACTTCCTCGACACCAGAGGGGGTGCGCTGGGGTTTGGGGCCCTATGCGCTTCGGGCTCCCAGGGCGTGGCAGGCGTGGCACTTCCTCGACACCAGAGGGGGTGCGCTGGGGGTGGGGGCCCTATGCGTTTCGGGCTCGCAAAGCGTGGCAAGCGTGGCACTTCCTCGACACCAGAGGGGGTGCGCTGGGGGTGGGGGCCCTATGCGTCTCGGGCTTGCAAGGCGTGGCAGGCGTGGCACTTCCTCGACACCAGAGGGGGTGCGCTGGGGGTGGGAGCTCGTACCTTGTCAAGAACTGTAAACACTGTGGCTCCAGCCGGCTCGACGCCCTTGCGATCTCACGCAGGCGCGCTCCTGTAGTCCTACTTCAGAGCACCGCCCTTCCTGCGCGCGGCAGTCATGCCGCCTAAACTTGCCATGGACGCTCTGCCGCCTCCGTGTTTGGCGATGAAAAACGCAATGGTTCTGACGGGCGGCGAGGCCAGTGTGGAGAGCTCGCGCCGATGCGCAAGCGGAGCGGTGCTCTCCGCATTCAATGCGTACCGCCGCCAGCTTCAGAATTGGTGGCCCGATGCGCTCTACGCGAGGCACTCCGAGATGAACGACGACGGCAAGAGGCAGTGCTTGGTGGCGTACCTGCAGAACCCTGCGTCGGGCGGATTCCCAGGAGGCTCTTTTAAACGACGGCGGCGGCCCGCCGGCGAAGGTTCGGCGAGTGCGCGAGGCCGGCAGCGCGGCGGCTGACGCAGAGGCCCCCACCGCAGCGATTGCCACGCTTATGAAGGCTACACCGACGATTCGCGACGAGGGTTTAGAACGCAGGATTGCGCATAGATGATAATGACAAGCGAACGCATAAGATTGAACATCAGTACGTGGGGGTCCTCGGTAGTGTAATTTCCCTGCCGCGCCGCACCCGCGTCTCACACCTCCCCCCTCCCCTTCTCCTTCTCGCACCAGAGCGGGAGCGCGGCGCAGCACGGCGCAGCGCAGCTCGCCGCGCAGCAGCGCAGCACAGCGCAGCACAACGCCACAGGGGGCGCGCTGTGGGTGGGGACCCTATGCGCTGTAGGCTCCCAGGGCGTGGCGGGCGTGGCATTTCCTAGGCGCCGCAGGGGGTGCGCTGGGGGTGGGGGCCCTGTGCGCTGCGCGCGACGCGTAGGGCCCCCGCCCCCCCAGGGTTGCGCTGGGGGTGGGGGCCCTATGCGCTGCAGGCTCCCAGGGCGTGGCAGGCGTGGCACTTCCTCGACGCCACAGGGGGTGCGCTGGGGGCGGGGGCCCTATGCGCTAAAGGCTCGCGGGGCGTGACAGGCGTGGCATTTCCTCGACGCCGCAGGGGGCGCGCTGGGGGTGAGGGCCCTATGCGTTGCAGGCTCCCAGGGCGTGGCAGGCGCGGCATTTCCTCGACGCCGCAGGGGGTGCGCTGGGGGTGAGGGCCCTTTGAGGAGGAGGACGGGGGGGGGGGGGGGCAGCAGCAGCGGCAGCAGCGGCAGCAGCAGCTGCAGCAGCAGACGCAGCAGCAACAGAAGCAGCAGCGGGATGAGGAGGACACCGACGAGGAGAAGGAGGAGCAGCAGCAGAAGCACCGATGGTACACATGGAAAATAACATAGGTATGTGGGGTTCCTCGGTCGCGTAATGTTGGTTTTTGTCCTTCCGTGAAGGTCTGGCGATTACCCCGGTTATCGCCCCCCCATTCCCCAGATAACCTGACCCTGTCGGTTGCGCAGGTCCGATTGGGGTGCGCAGTACTGGTGCGCGCGGGCGCACGTGAGGCAAGCGAAGAGGCTAGGTTGTCGGCCGGCATTTCGCCCCCGCCCATCGTCCGCGCCCTCGGGGCGATCGAAAGGGGCACGGAAAGTATGGGTGCGGAGGCAGACAGCAGTTCTTGGTCATTTTTTTTGCAGGATCCGCAATTTGAGGCAGAAGGCCGCTCTGCCCAACAGCGGCCGCTCTCGGTTTTGGACAACATTCGCTGTTGGGCAGTATGGTTTGTTTGCCCGTACCAGTTTCGGGCGTTCAATTCTTCGTCCGCGGCCCCGTCTTCGTTTCGATCCCAATCTACTTTAGGCGCGGTCTTACTTCAATCGTCTGGCGGTTTCATTCGTTCCTCCTCTTCAGGGGGGCGGGCGGAGGCCCAATATTTCTTCCGACTCGCACAAGCCGCTGCAAGTGCGGTGACGGTTCTTATCCTGTCGCCGCCGCGGCCGCCGCCGCCGCCGTCGTCAACCTCGTCAACCTCGTCGTCACCACCGTCGTCGTCGTCGTCGGCGGCGGCGGCGGCGGCGTCGGCGTCGGCGTCGGCGTTGTCATCGTTGTCGTCGTCGCTGATAGTACTCGTCGTCGGCGTCGGCGTCGGCGTCGTCGTCCTCGTCGTCGTTGATACTGGTCGTCGTCGTTGTCGTCGTCAGTCTTGGTCGTCGTCCTAATCGTTGTCGTCGTCATCGTCCTCGTCGGCTGCCCTGTTCACCACCGCCGTCCGAGTGCTCTATGAACTCATTTCTGGGCCGATCCTCGTTGCATCGTCGGGGAACTTGCTGATGGTCGACGGTCTCCGTGGCCACACAAGTCCCTTCGTCCGTTAGTTGAGGTTTTTTGTGGCCAGGCCACATTCGCAGCCTCCGCCAGGAGAAACGGGGAAGAGGGGGAGGGGGACGAGGAAAATTTGCCTGACGAAGGACCCAACCATGTGCAGGTGTGAATACCGCAGTTGACACTACCAGTTTCGGTGGGGCTCCCTATAGGGCCACGAAACGTGTGAAGGGGATGGGTGTGCGGGACGCATGCGGGCGGCAGCACTGGGGCCTTCAGTGGAGCTCCCTATGGGGCCACGAAACGTGTGAGGGAGTTGACGACATGGGTGTGGCTGACGCATGCGGGCGCGGGCACTGGGGCCTTCGGTGGAGCTGCCTATGGGACCACGAAACGTGTGAGGGGTGTGCCGAAATGGGTGTGGCTGACGCATGCGGGCGCGGGTGTGCGTGACGCATGCGGGCGGCAGCACTGGGGCCTTCGGTAGAGTTCCCTATAGGGCCACGAAACGTGTAAGGGGTGTGCCGAATTGGGCGTGGGTGACGCAGGCGGGCGGCAGCACTGGGGCCTTCGGCGGAGCTCCTATGGGGCCACGAAACGTGTAAGGGGTGTGCCGAATTGTGTGTGGGTGACGCATGCGGGCGGCAGCACTGGGGCCTTCGGCGGAGCTCTTATGGGGCCACGAAACGTGTGAGGGGTGTGCCGAATTGGGTGGGGGTGACGCATGCGGGCGGCAGCACTGGGGCCTTCGGCAGAGCTCCAATGGGGCCACGAAACGTGTGAGGGGTGTGCCGAATTGGGTGTGGGTGACGCACGCGGGCGGCAGCATTGGGGCTTTCGGCGGGGCTCCCTATGGGGCCACGAAACGTGTGAGGGGTGTGCCGAATTGGGTGTGGGTGACGCATGCGGGCGCGGGCATGGGGGCGCTCTCACGAAGGCCGACGCATGCGGGCGCGGGCACTGGGGCCTTCGGTGGAGCTCCCTATGGAGCCACGAAGCGTGTGAGGGGTGTGCCGAAATGGGTGTGGGTGACGCATGCGGGCGCGGGCACTGGGGCCTTCGGTGGAGCTCCCTATGGAGCCACGAAGCGTGTGAGGGGTGTGCCGAAATGGGTGTGGGTGACGCATGCGGGCGCGGGCACTGGGGCCTTCGGTGGAGCTCCCTATGGAGCCACGAAACGTGTGAGGGGTGTGCCGAAATGGGTGTGGGTGACGCATGCGGGCGCGGGCACTGGGGCCTTCGGTGGAGCTCCCTATGGAGCCACGAAACGTGTGAGGGGTGTGCCGAAATGGGTGTGGGTGACGCATGCGGGCGCGGGCACTGGGGCCTTCGGTGGAGCTCCCTATGGAGCCACGAAACGTGTGAGGGGTGTGCCGAAATGGGTGTGGGTGACGCATGCGGGCGCGGGCACTGGGGCCTTCGGTGGAGCTCCCTATGGAGCCACGAAACGTGTGAGGGGTGTGCCGAAATGGGTGTGGCTGACGCATGCGGGCGCGGGCACGAGGGAGGAGGGGGAAGAGGAGGAGAGGAGAGGAACGCGGGGCACCGTCTCTTCAAACGAGGACCCAACACCACAGGATGGTTGGGAAAAAAGGGAAGGAGGAGGACGCGGAGGAGGAAAAGCAAGGGAAAACGAGGAGGAACGGGAAGAGAATGAGGATGATTTGCGCCGCCGCGCAACGTTGTGCTGCCCTTCGCCGTGGTCGCAACCGCACTGTGGTGCTCGCAAACGCGCTGTGCGCACTTTGTTGGGCTCGCAATCGTACGGTGTCGTTCGCAAGCGCAGTGTGGCGCTCCCGAGCGCAGTGTGTGTGTGTGTGTGTTGTTCGCGCTGTGGTATGGTTGCCACAGGGACACGCCGGTCGTTCGCAGACCATTGCGGTGCACGCCTGTGCCTTGCCCGTGCTCTCAGGCCGCGCGCGTGATCAAAGCACTGGCCACGTTGCGTTCGCAGGCATAGAGCGCTGCTCGGGCGCTTCTTCTGGCGATCACAGCGCGCCCCCGCCCCGACGGACCCCGCCCCGCCCACGCGCTTCTGATACCCAGGGCCCAGCTCCCCCCGTGGGTAAGCACGATTTGTTGCTCAAATTGCGAAGCGCCCACACAGGATGTCGCTACACATGTTGCGCAGCACCGCTTCCGTTGACTCGCCACCGACGCCGCGGAGGCGTCGTCGGCGTCGTCGTCGTCGTCGTCTTCATATTCTTCCTGTTTCCCCTGCGTTTTCTCCTCCCCTCCCGCCCTCCCCCTATAGTTTTTTTTTCCGCCGTCTATCCTCCTGCCTCCGCGCTCATCCCTCTGCCTTCTCTCCGCCCCCCTTTCCGTTGACCGCTTCCCCTTCCATCCTCACCTATCTACCCCCCCCCCGTTCGTCCTCCTCCCTCTGCCCTCCTCCCCCGTCCCTCCTCCTCCACCACCCCTCTATGTACTCAGTGTTTCTTACTTTTCCAATTTGCTTCCCCCTCCATTTGTCTTCGCCACCCTTCTCTTTGCTGTCGGTGTTCGTCCTCCTCAGGTGGAACTGGATCTGAAGGCCGCCGACGATCCTCAGCACTTGTTCGCCTCCGACGGGCTGCGGGAAGAGGCCCATCACTAGCGACTGCCCACCCATTGCTGTTGAATAGAAAAGAGTGTGAAAGGGCACGGGAGCGTTCTCCGAGAGTCCCTGTTTGAGAAGTTGCAGCCCTCCATCGGTGCAGCAGCTGCACCAGTTTACGTGCATGGTCATAAGTTCTGAAGGAACATGCGACGAGAGCCCGACTCCGAAAAGGAGCCCACACTTGTCATTGCCCCAGATGATGGATTCAACTGTCAGACAACTTTTGAAGTGGCGCCAATGCGATACCAGCCTCCATGTTCGCAGCTCTTTGCTGTGGAAAAGCGATTGCGACCAGCGTTAAGGTGCGGGCCACATATTTTGAAAAGACCCGTCTTCTTCTTGGTAGCTGCTGGAGACTGTTCAGATGATTGTGCTCGGCGCTCAGGCGATAACCACATTCGAGAAAGATGTGCCCTCCCAAGCTTTAGGGTCATAAGTGGCGCGGTAGTAGCAGTTGAGACGCCCCTCTTGTCCTACCAACACGCTTGGCGGCGCGACGACGAGAAGAGTCATTTTTATAAAGACGAGGGGCTTAGTAGGATGATGAGGACCAGTTGGAGGGGGGCGAGGAGGAAGAGGTAGGAGGATGAGGGGGAGGGGGGTGGGAGGCACGACCAAAACTACACCTTGGCGGTCGAAAGCCAAGCAGCTGTCCTAGAGAGCAACACAGGGAGTGCTACGAAGGGTGAATACATAGTAGTAAAGAGGGTACACTAGGAAGTGCTGAAAGAGAGAGAGAGAGAGAGAGAGACCATCAAGAAGACCATCGAGGATACAATACGGGAGACAATGCTTCATATCATCAGGGAGACTAAACATGGATACCATGCGGGAGTCCATACGGGGGACACTGCGGGAAAGCATACGGAAGACCATGCGGGAGACCATACGGAAAGACCGTACGGGAGACCACACGGGAGAGTACACGGAAGACCATATGTGAGACCTGCACGTGAGAGCCCACAGGAGACCATGCGGGTTATTGCAGGCCACCGGCCCTCGACTCCCGACCTGCGTGGCCTCACACCCGGACTTGGGGGCAGCGATGCCGGGCTGAAGAAGGAGGGAGTGGAGTGGAGTGGAGTGGACGCCTTCGCAAGGTGACATGTCCGCGATCTAACTCGACGCGCGAGGCGCCTGCTGCGGGCGAGGCAGCGCTCTGGGCCCGACCCCACGCCCTCCGACGGAGGTACTCCGCTCTGGTGTCTGCAGACTGAATCAAACAAGGCGCTGTCAAATAGGAAGGGCGGCAGAAGGTCGGCGAAATTAGCCTGGCGAAGAACCCAACCATCTGCAGCTGCCAGTACCGCAGCTGCGGGTTTCATCTTCAATGGAACTCCCCATAGGATTACGGAACGTGTGAGGGGTGTACCGAGATGGGTGCCACTGGGGCATTCGGCGAAGCTCCCTATGGGGACATGAAACACGCGCGGGGCGTGCCGACATGGGCTGCGGAAACGCATGTGCGGGCCGCCACTGGGGCCTCCAGTGGAGCTCCCTATGGGTCCCCGAAACATGATGCTGCTGCGGGGGGGGGGGGGCCGGGATGGGTGGCGGAGACGCATGTAAGCGCCGCTACTGGGGCTTTCGGTGGAGCTCCCTATGGGGCCACGAAGCGCGTGAGGGGTGTACTGGGATGTGTGGCGGGGACGCATGTGGGCGCCGCCACTGGGGCCTTCGGTGCAGCTCCCTATGGGGCCACGAAACGTGTGAGGGGTGTGCCGAATTGGGTGCGGGTGGTGACGCATGCGGGCGGTGCCACTGGGGCCTTCGGTGGAGCTCCCTATGGGGCCACGAAACCTGTTGTTGTGAGGGGCGTGCCGGGATGGGTGGCGGGGACGCATGTGAGCGCGGCCGCTGGGGCCTTCGGTGGAGCTCCCTATGGGGCCACGAAACGTGTGAGGGGTGTGCCGAATTGGGTGGGTGTGGGTGACGCATGTGAGCGCCGCCACTGGGGCCTCCGGTGGATGATGGGGCCACGAAACCTGTCAGGGATGTGCCGAAATGGGTGTGCGGGACGCATGCGCATGTGAGCGCCGCCACTGGGGCCTTCGGTGGAGCTCCCTATGGGGCCACGAAACGTGTGAGGGGTGTGCCGAAATGGGTGTGGGTGACGCATGCGGGCGCGGGCACTGGGGCCTTCGGTGGAGCTCCCTATGGGGCCACGAAACGTGTGAGGGGTGTGCCGAAATGGGTGTGGGTGACGCATGTGGGCGCGGGCACTGGGGCCTTCGGTGGAGCTCCCTATGGGCCACGAAACGTGTGAGGGGTGTGCCGAAATGGGTGTGGCTGACGCATGCGGGCGGCAGCACTGGGGCCTTCGGCGGAGCTTCTACTATGGGGCCACGAAACGTGTGAGGGGTGTGCCGAATTGTGTGTGGGTGACGCATGCAGGCGGCAGCACTGGGGCCTTCGGCGGAGCTCCTATGGAGCCACGAAACGTGTGAGGGGTGTGCCGAATGGATGTGGGTGACGCATGCGGGCGGCAGCACTGGGGCCTTCGGTGGAGTTCCCTATGGAGCCACGAAACGTGTGAGGGGTGTGCCGAAATGGGTGTGGGTGACGCATGCGGGCGCGGGCACTGGGGCCTTCGGTGGAGCTCCCTATGGAGCCACGAAACGTGTGAGGGGTGTGCCGAAATGGGTGTGGGTGACGCATGCGGCGCGGGCACTGGGGCCTTCGGCGGAGCTCCCTATGGAGCCACGAAACGTGTGAGGGGTGTGCCGAAATGGGTGTGGGTGACGCATGCGGGCGCGGGCACTGGGGCCTTCCTTCGGTGGAGCTCCCTATGGAGCCACGAAACGTGTGAGGGGTGTGCCGAAATGGGTGTGGGTGACGCATGCGGGCGCGGGCACTGGGGCCTTCGGTGGAGCTCCCTATGGAGCCACGAAACGTGTGAGGGGTGTGCCGAAATGGGTGTGGGTGACGCATGCGGGCGCGGGCACTGGGGCCTTCGGTGGAGCTCCCTATGGAGCCACGAAACGTGTGAGGGGTGTGCCGAAATGGGTGTGGGTGACGCATGCGGGCGCGGGCACTGGGGCCTTCGGTGGAGCTCCCTATGGAGCCACGAAACGGTGTACTGGGTGGGTGAAGAGGAGAGGAGGAGAGGAGGGGAGGAGAGGAGGAGAGGAGAGGAGAGGAGAGGAGAGGAGAGGAGAGGAGAGGAGAGGAGAGGAGAGGAACGCGGGGCACCGTCTCTTCAAAACGAGGACCCAACACCACAGGATGGTTGGGAAAAAAACGCCTCCAAGAAGAGATGAACACCTTTTGGGGGTCAGGGTTCCTGGAATCTGCCACGTGGGAAAGATGTTGGAGACGGGCTTCTTGAATTTCGCCGAGGTATGCGAGGGCTCCGCCGCGCCGCAGGGGTAGACCTGAACTCTCTTTTGCTGGACTTCGGCCGCAAGAAGACAGGCAGCGCAAAACCAACAGCATCACGAAAAGAGCACGAAAGCAACACGAGCACAACACGAAAACGATAAGCAGAACGAATGCAACGCGGAAAGCAGCGTTGGGGCCCCGCGCCGCTCCCGAGGGGCCTGCCGGCCGGCCGGCCGGCCGGCTCGGACTCGGGGAGGCGTCTTGCGTGCCGTGGGTCCTGCGCCACTGCGGTGCAGGGCCGCCGCGGCGGGGGAGCCCCCCCCCCCCTCCCGGGTGGTCGTGCTGTCATGCGCTGCTCTGCCGATCGGCCCAGGGGGCCCTCGCACGCCCCCATCCGATGCTCGTTTGGGGGACCTTCCTGGGGCCCACCTGCATGGCTCTGTTCGACCCAGGTTCGACTCAAGTTCGACTCAGGTTCGACTCAAGTTCGAATCAGCTTCGACTCAGCTTCGACTCAGCTTCGACTCAGCTTCGACTCAGCTTCGACGCACGAGTGTAGCGAGTGGCTCCAGGAAGGTCCCCAGAATGAGCATCTAACCCCCCTCCCCCCCCCCTACATGCGGGCGATCGCACACATGGCTCGGAGGGGGCGTGGATCAGCGACGGGTCCGGCTGCCAGGGGAAATCGCGGACTTCCGCCGCCGAAGGAGGCGGCACCAGCCTCATTTCGGGGAGGGCACCTCCCCCGATCCATGGGTTTGGCGACCGCGCCCCAAGTCCACGGATCGCTAATCCATGTTTGCGCGCCCCCGATATATGGAGTAGATCTTGGCTGTTTTGGGCGCCTGTTTCAAGCAGGTGGCGCCTCCCCCATAGAACGCACTGCTGCAGCAAGCAGCCGCAGTAAGAAGAGGTCCGGAGCCAAACCCCCCCCTCTCCCTCCTTCCCGCCCAAAATCGAAGCGCCGTATAAAAAACGCGTTCGCAAGGACCTCGGGTGCTCCACGTCGCCGTGTCTGCACGGCACACCGGCTGAAGTAGTGGTGCCAGCTGGACGCGCAGGTCTAGACCAGGGCGCCAAAAGCAGATGGACAGCCGCTGCGACTGTCTTATCCACGCGTGCGGGCTGTGTAGCGCGCAGGACGGAGAAATTGCAGCAGCTCGCGCTCCTGCCCCGGAGCTCGCAAAACACGATGCAGGACGAAACGCCGATCCTGGGGGGGGGTGTCCAGACCTCTGCGGTGGCGGCGTGGCGAAGAAGGGGACATCGAGAGGACGAGAAGAAGCACGGAGGTGGGCTGTTCGTGCCCCAGGGCACACGAGTCGCGTCCTCCTCCCGCTTCCCTCACCCTTCCTCGGCGACGGCGGCGGCGGCGACGGGACAGACGACAACGCCGACACCAACGCCGCCCGCCACCCCCGCCGCCGTCGTCGACGTCGTCGTTGACGTTCGTCGTCGTCGTGGTCGTGATCGTGGTCGTGGTCGTTGTCGTGGTCGTGGTCGTGGTCGTGGTTGTCGTCGTCGTCGTCGTCGTCGTCGTCGTGCGTCGCCGGTTGTCGTCTTTTGCTGTTTGTTTGTCGCGGTCGTCGTTCGTCCGTCGATCATCGATCATCGTCCGTTTCCTCAAGTAGTGTCGACGCGTTACGACTTGCTTTCTGGGCCAACGGAGAATATTATACTATGTGATCTGTGGTTGGTGTGGAATGTTCTTAAAGCATTTCTGGCTGAGACAGTCTTCTGTTAATGCATGCTTTTATTTGCTGTAGGAGCACTGGTTTCGTCCTGAGAGCGTTCTTCTGTTCTTGACAACATGTCGTGGTTGCCCTCCAGGAGAGCCAGGACGATCGGTCCCTGCTCAACCTGGGAGCCTTGAGACCGGGAGCAATGCAAACGGGGGTCAGCCAGAGCGCCGGATCTTGCAGTATCCTGCAGAGCCAGTGGTGCATTGACCGGGGCTGGCGCGCAGGATATCGCAAGATCCTGTAGGATCTCGCAGGATCCTGCACAGACTGGCTGACCCGGGCTTGCACTGTCAGTCCCAGACAGCTGGTTGCTCAGACACGGCCGGCACCGCTCCCCGGACCTCTCCCGGGGCGCTTTCTGCCCAGGATTTCGAGGCGAAGCCAGCGGTGGCGACGAGGGCCTCCCGGGAGGCCCCAGAGAGCAGGGAAGACGAGGGATGGGCGGAGAGTTTTTGGAGCCACCGGAGCTTCGGGGCGCGTCCCCGATCCATCGTCCGCTGTCAGTCGCACGCGGGCATCGTCGTTCGGCAGCGGCGGCGGCGGGGCGCGCGCGGCCCGCGGGGGAGGCCCCGTCGCCGCCGTCGCCCCTGGCGGCGGTGCTGGACGAGGCGCGGCGGCGCGAGGGGTGCGGTGAGCAGGCCCTCGCGCGTGCCTCCCCCGCGCCCCGCCAGCCCTCGCGCCCTCGCCAGTGGATTTTGCCTCCTCTTCCTCCTCCTCCTGTTCCTGCTCCTCCTCCTCCTCCTCCTCCTCCTCCTCCTCCTCCGTAGCCATTTTGGCTCAAGATGCTTTGTTCCCCAGCGGAACAAGTGGATACCGCTAGTCCGCGGCAGACAAGACCCTTTGCGGTCTGGCAGAGCGTTCCCTCCTCTCCGACGCTCGCGCCCACGGGTAAACGGAGGCGTTTCCCGTTCCTGTGCGAGCGAACGTCCCTGGTGCAATGGGACTTCCCGACGCCGCTGCCCTGGCCAGCCGTGCCCAGGAGATCGAAGACATGCCCACCTTCCCTGACGATGAACGCGCTGAAAGCCAACGTGTCCATGGCTCGCCTGAGTCCAAGTATCCCCGCACGGAGGAGGGCAAGGGGTCCTCTGGCAGTGGCAAAGGTGTCGCCCGTCTCGCCTCCCGTGCTGCCGCTGCAGGTGCCGCGCTCGTCTTCGGGCGCTCGGAGCTCCAGGCTCATTCTCCTGATGTACATGCTGGCGGTGCTCCTGTGCATTCTGGTGGAGTCTCCGCAGGTCCTGACCCTGTTCGAGCATCCGCTGCGCATGTCACCCACGACTACCCCGACGAGTACATCAAAGCCGTTATTGCCGATGGTGTCGCCTCCCAGTTCAGCGAGCTGCGCACGGAGCTCGAAGAGCTTGTCGCTTCCACAGTGGGAGACACTGTCAAATCCAGCAATGCCGCCATCCTTCAGACCCTGGCTGTGTTGCAGAAGCAATTGGAAGACCAGCCGTCAGAGCTGGACCAGAAGGCGATGGGCATCTTCCGACCGCAGCTTGACGAACTCTCTAGAAAGATGCAGCGACAGATTGATGATGTCACTGGAAAAGTCGCTACTCTCAAATACGAGCTGGACACACACAGAGCAGTTGCAACAATTACGTGCCGAGATTGCCGAACTACGTGAAGGTCTTCAGGTGGCCAAGCGACAGGACGCTGCCCCCTCTCCGCCCGCCAGCTTTGACCACCAGACGGACCCCGCAGTGGTGGTCGCGATGTGTACTAAGATGGTTGGATTGTCACAGGTTCGTGATGTGCTGGCCCCGTTCCTCTCAGAGCTCGGATTCGAGGCAGACCAGTACACCCTTTCTTGCCCTTCGCCGACTCCCGCACGCAGGTTTCTCATCAAGTTCAACGGCGCCACTGGCCTCGCCTCCCGCAAGGTCTCGAAGGTGCTCAGCAACCTCCGCCGCAATGATCAGTGGAGAGTGTTCAACGTTGAGGCCACTGGTGCCGCAGCCGACGCTCGCCTGCACTTGGGGCCCGACAAATCCCCTCGACAGGTCAAGACGGAGATGGCTCTTCGTCGGATACGTGGTGCGTGCGCAGACAAGTTCGGTGGACGGTGGTCTGTCGATCGTGAACGAGGCATCCTCAAGAGCGGTTGGACCAGCGTGCTTAAGATCCAAGCGAACCCTGAAGACGCTCCATATACTGTGCAGTTCAACCAAGAGGGCATCCTGGACATCAAGCTCACGCGTGCTGACATCCAAGCAGTGGTGGATGAGATTACGGCACCTCCGCCTCCTACGACGTGGTGTCTTTGATGGCTTCATGCGGCTCTTTCACACTCCGTCTCGCGGGAATGGGAATGAATCGATGCGATTCATTACTTGGAATGCTCGTGCTCTGTTACAGTATCGAGGAGCGAAGAGCAGACTCAAGTCGTCATATCTGAAGAAGTTTCACCTCCCTGGGTCCATCCTGGCTCTACAGGAAGTTCATCAAGATCGTCGGCAACTTGAAGACTATTTATGTCGCCTTCATCGTGATGCCGTGGTCCACGCCTCGTTTTGCACAGCCGATGATGGGGGCTCGGCTGCGGGAGGGGTTGCCACTGTCTTACCGAAGCTCGCGTCGGAGCTCGATGTTACCAGCAATGCTACGACCGTCGTGCAAGGTAGGGTCCTTCGAGTCGACGTTGTCGGGCAGGGGTTTCAGCCGGCGCACTTCAATATACATAACCATGGTCTCACCACGAGGCAGATTGACGAGGTGTGTGCTGAGATCGACGCTGCGCGTGTGCGAGCAGCTGCTGATCCTCTACACTTCCTGGTGATCGTGCAGGGCGACCTCAACTTCGGCCCTGATGAGGCGTTGCTTCTTCAGCGGCCTGAACCTGCTCGAGCCACTGATCCTCGAAACCATCGTGCTATGGCTGCTCGGTGGTTGAGGACATTGGGATTATTTCTTGAGATCTCTTCGGAGTCACCGACGCACTACACCAAGGACACCAACTCGGTCAGCTGCCTCGATCGGTTCTTCTGCTCAGTGGCTGGATGGATGATGTGCCAGATGAGTGCGGAATCCTCTACCATAGGAGACCCCGAAGTACTATCTCGCTCATTGATATCGGACCACGCTGCTTTGCTCACGGTGCTTCGTCAACGCCAAGCTCGTCCCAGATCTGAGCAGCCAGTTCCTCGCCATGCTTTCGAGAGTCCTCTTTTTCGTCAACGTATTGAGGGCATGTTCAAAGATGGCGCTGGCGCTGAGAAGTGGTGCTCTGCAGCCGTCTACCAGGAACACTTCAAGGGCATGTTGAAAGAAGCTGCCCGTGAAGTCCGTGACTGGATGTTTGTTTACCATCCCTCTGGCGACGAAACTGCATTGCTGGTGGCCCGAGGGTGTGCACGAGCAGCATGGCGACAAGATCTCCCGCTCGCCCGTCGGCTGGTGGCGACCTCGGCTACCGCAGCTGACCTGCTCGAAGTCGGAGGCTCACAAGTTGTCCTTCGTCATCCTGGATCGTTCCACATGTGGACGGATGGAGTGCATATGCGTCTCCTGGAAAAAGAGATTCGCGCCGCTGCTGACGCTGCTGCAGGCTCTCGTTCGACCCGTCCGCCCACTTCGTTTCGTCGTCGGCAGCTGTTGGAACGCCAAGCTGCAATCTGGGCCCCATTCTCACGGAGGTTGGTTCTTCGTGCTGTTCGGGACGGCCCTCGGTTAGCTGAAGCTCCAGAGGAAAGGGTTGATGCACTCACGAAATATTGGCGCCCTGTCTTCTCGCGCTCGGAAGTCGATCTCGAAGCTGCTCAGAAATACATCGAACAACAGTGTCCCTCACCCGTGCTCCCTGACGTCCCGCCACCCTCGAAAGCGACGATTCGGAATATTGTGGCACGTGCTCGCCACTCGGCCCCTGGGGTTGACGGACTGCCGTACGCTGCTTGGGCAGCTGCCGACTGTTGCCTGGAAGTATTATGTCTTATGATGGATTGGATCTTGCGTGGGCAGTCTCTCTTCGACGCAGCCAGTGTTACTCTGCAAGCGTACCTTCCTAAGGGATCGGAACACGAAGACCTGGCCTCTGGAGGCTGCATACGCTCTGCCGATAAGATCAGGGTCCTCGGGCTCCGCAACACCGACCTGAAAATTCTGACGTCTGCTGCGAACCGATCACTTAAAGGTGTGGTCGACCCCCTCGTCCCTCAGTCGCAGCGCGGCTTCGTACAGGGCAGAAACTTCGGGTGCAACATCTTAGAGCTCGGTGGCTTCAGTCGCATCGCTGGGGCCCACCCGCTGGCCTCGTCCAAGATGCCGCTGCTGGTCTCGTTCGATTTCGGCCAGGCTTTCCCGAGCCTCTCCCAGGAGTTCATGATGCTGTTCCTTGCTCACCTCCGTCTGCCATCCCCAGTGATGCACTTCCTGGCCTGGTTGTACTCTGCGATCGAAGGGGTCGTGGCCCACGGTGGCCTGCTCCACTCGGTGTATTGGTTGAGGTCGGGGATCATTCAGGGGTGCGGTCTGTCTGGGACCCTGTGCGCTTTGAGCGCGGCCCCGTTCCTGACTGACTTGGAATATTCGCTTGAGGACTCTGGACTTGGCCTGGCGAGGGCCTGCGCGGACGATATTGGGGCTGTCTTGTTCGAGGCTCGCGGGCTCCAGGTGCTCTACCGTGTGATGACGACTACGCGGCTCCTAACTAGGCTCTGCCTCAAGGTCAGTAAATGCAAAGTCACCCCGCTGCACGCGACGCCCACCCCTGACCTTCTGGAAAGGACACGTGCTATCCTTGGCCGGCTTGTTCCCGAATGGCAAGCGTTCGAGGTCGTGGCCCACCTGATGTACCTGGGCGTTCTCTTGGGGCCCGATGTCACGATCCAGATGCAGTGGGACGCTGCTCGGATGAAATTGAAGTTGCGTGCTAGGCTCCTCGGTTCAGGCTCCGCCCCCTTGGGAATCAACGGCGTGCTCTACAGATCCAGAGCCCTCCCTGTGTTGTCCTACCTGGCCCAGTTCTTCCCTCTGCCTCCCAGAATGGCCGCTTTCGAGCTCTCAGTGCTTGCCCAGGTATTCCGTGCTCCTATGGGTACTCTACCTGCCTCTGGCTTGGCCCAGCTCTCTGCGTGGGGAGGCCCCAAGATCCCGCTTGTGCGACATACATGTGCTGCCGCGCTGTCCCGAGCTGCTACCATTACGTTCAGCGAGCATACTCACATGCGCTCTAACATTACTAACACCACTCTTTCATGGAATGATGATATTATGCAGGGACGATTTGATGACGCTTCCCTAGCGACCTGTCGTACTCGAGAGGATTGGATGTGTGACGCTGGACGGCACTGGCGGCTCCCACCCATCCTGCAGACCTACTCCTGGCTGCGTCAGGGCTCTGCACATGCTGGCTACTCTTCAGACATCCTGCGCTGTTGTACGTCTGCGATCGCCTCGGAGCTCTTGGTCTCGGGGCGGAAGCCCAAATTTCAGAGAGCAGCCACCTCGGCACTTTTCGAGCAGTTCGTTACGCCGTTCCCGTTGAGCTCGACTTTCGAGACCAGGCTGGCACGCTACTTTGCCATGTATGAACCCTTTCTACATCGGGTGCCGTGGGAGGCGATTCAGATGCTGCTGCAGCTGCTGCCCACGAGCTGGATCTTCCCTGTTATCAAGACGTGGGCATCTGCTTGGCTCACAAGTTATCGAATAAGTTACCATTCGGGGAAGAGGCTCTGTATCTTTGGGTGTAACTCTTGTGCTGACAGACAGTGCCACTACATGCGGTGCCACCGTTTGGTTCGAGCTGTCGGTCGCGCACTGGGTCGCTCTCTTCCTGCCTCTCTTCACGAACGTCTGTGCCTGACGGCACCGTGTGTGGAACGGGTGGAGGAGATGGTCGTGATGTTCACTACGTATCACACTATTCGTGAGCGCAATTGGGTTTCCCCTGATGCTCTGAACTCGGCGACTCGAGCGGCGGTCAGAACTCTTCGTATGGCGTCTCCCACCGACCAGATAGAAAAGAAATGGCAGCCGCCGCCGTCCATCATACCGACACCGCGCACGCTCACCGACGACTCTTCCACCTCCTCTGCTGACGACCCTGTCGTCGCCCATGCTGTCTCGGTCGCTGGTGATGGTGAAGCCGACTTCGACGCTGGCGCAGGCTTGACCCCAGGACAGTCACCATGCTTGACTCCAAGACTGGTTCCCACGATGTCTTGCCCGAACACTCCTTCGACGCTGATAGCCACTCCCGAACGTGGTGGACATAGCGACGAGTTGGATGACAATGCTACTGGCAGAACGCAAAGTCCTGTGCACGGGTGCTCCTCGAGCCCGCTGCTGCAGGCTCAGTCGTCGCCAATTTCGCTGGATGCTACTGGCGGAACGCAAAGTCCTGAGCACGGGTGCTCCTCGAACCCGATCCTGCAGGCTCAATCGTCGCCAACGTTGTCGGATGTTACTGGCAGAACGCAAGGTCGTGGGCATGGGACCTCTGTGCGCTCGCTGGTGCAGGCTCAGACATCGCCAACGAAGCTTGATGTTACTGGCAGAACGCAAAGTCCTGTGCACGGGTGCTCCTCGAGCCCGTTGTTGCAGGCTCAGCCGTCGCCGAAGCTGCTGAATGGTGGTGGAAATCCTGGCCTCTGCACTTCAAGGGTGAAATGTGAGCGTGGCGCCGAAAATAGTCTGCCTCTCGTTTGCCCGCTCGGTCCCATCATTCGCTCCGTGGCCGTCCGCCGCGCTCGTGACTCCATGGCTGTCCTCTCGACCCGCCCTCTCGCTCCTGCTGATGTCCCTCCTGCTGCTGCCTCCCTTCCTCGCTCTCGCGTGCCGCCTCCTGCGGCGCTGATTGAAACACCGCTTTCCGTCCACTTGCACGTGACGTTCGACACAGGCGGGCGCCCGCCGCCCGCCCCGCTGCCTGCGGCCGCGGCCCCTGCTTCTCTGTCCTCCGCTCTGATCGCTGGTGTAGCCAGTCGCTCGAGCCTGGGGAAGTGTGCTCAGCTGTTGAGCTGAGCGCAGAGGTCGGTCGGATGGATCTCTCCTCTACGCTGCGCTCCTCCTCCTCCTCCTCCTCCTCCTCCTCCTCCTGTTCCTCCTCCTCCTCCTCCTCCTCCTCCTCCTCCTCCTCCTCCCGCGCCGCCGGCTCCCGAGTGGGACCGGCACCCCCTGCGCCCAAGAGGGGCCGACGGCGAAGCCAGAAAGATGTCAGTCCAGCGGGGACTAACCGAGAAGCAGGTTAATTAGCTGGTGCTCTCTAGAAAGAGGAGGAGGAGGGAAAGGGAGAGGGACGAGAGGGGAAAGGGGCGGGGGGCGGGGGCGGTAGGGGTGGTCGTGCCGGTGGTCGTTGTGGTGGTCGGAGTGCTGGTGGTCGGTCCTTCCTCCTCTTCCTCCTCCTCCTCATCTTGCACCTCCTCCTTCTCCACCTCCTCCTCCTCCTCCTCCTTCTCCTCCTCCTCCTCCTCCTCCTCCTCCTCCTCGTGATCAATTTGACCGGCGCAGCGTTCCACCCATTGTTGCATGTGATTGCTTGACTTTGATGTGTTGCCCGCGCGCCGGACGACGAATGGCTTGTGAGTGAGTGAACCCCCGAGTTCCGCCCTCGAGGCGGCGCCTGAGGTGCTGCCAGGAGGGCCCAGCGCCGATCCAAGAAATCCGCGCGGACCGTGGAAAGTTTATGTATCTACAGCTTCTTGTTCTCCTACGTCCGCTATCCTGATGCTCCTCCACACCGTGAGCGGTTCTCGTTCCGCCCCGACCGCGACGACGACGACGATGACGACGACGACGACGACGACGACGACGTTGACGACGACGGCGACGGCGACGGCGACGGCGACGACGACGGCGACGGCGACGGCGACGGCGACGACGACGACGACGACGACGACGACGACGACGGCGACGGCGACAGCGACGGCGATGGCGACGACGACGACCCCCTCCCCGTCGCCAGGGCGGCCAGGACTGTCCGCTCGGGGGCGGCGAGGGCGCCGACTGCGAGATCGAATGGCACGGGCTGGAGCCGGTCCTCGTGGAGAGGCGCCTCGGGCCCGGATTTGTGCAGGTGCGGGCAGGGAGGGCTCGGCCGTAGTGTGGCCTGCGATCGGCCGCGCCTTAGGGTGCCTCTCAAGGGCGCCGGTTGCAGGCCACACCCTTTGCAGGACACACCTTTTGGAATCGCCGAGATGGGGGCTCCTTCTTTGTTCTTCTTTCGGGAAGCGTAAGGCTCGAGTTCGCCGGAGCTCGGTGTCGCAAGTGCTTCTTGACGAGCGCGCCCTGGGTTTTGGCGTTTGAGCCTTCGTGGGGCGTGTGCGGCGGGAGGTCGCGTCAAATTTCAGAGTGGGTCTTGTCCTTCTCCTGACGGCCTCGTCAGGCCAACCCGAGTCCCCCGAACCCGAGTCTGACGTCTCCCAGATTCTTCCTACTGCCTTTTCTTCTGCTCGCCCCTCGTTGACCCCCCCCCTGGCATTTTGGCCACAGCGCACCGAGGGAGAGGTCCAGGGGTTGGTATGTCGAGGTCGCCACGAGGGACAGGTGTCCCCTGGACGAAAGGAGGTCCTGGAGTTCTTGCTGCCGTTGTCGGGCTCCTGGGCTCCCCCCCCCCGGCCCTGGCACCGGCGGCAGAGCCGGCGCAGGCCGAAGCGCAGAGCCCGGCGGTCGAGCGTCCGACTCCACTGGGGAGCCTTTTCCTTCGGGGCAGGTCGATGTTGCTCCATCTTGGGGCCGGCACCGGTGGGTTCTCACGGACTCCGTGATCCACGCTGGCGTTTTCCCTCCCCCTCGGTGTGATACGCGTTATGGGTTTGCTATCCCGATCTGTCCATTCGCCAACTCAGACTCCCGCGTATCCCCGCCAGCCCATTCGGAAGCACTGGCCATGAGAGTCGACGGGGAAAGAGACGAAGAGACACATGCAGTGAAACAAGCGGGCAACGAGGGTGAACAGAGAGATCTCCGGGAGCAAGGAGGTGGCTTTGGAGGGCCTCTTCGGGCCCTCCCTAGGGCCCGCGCGGGGGCGAGGGAAGGAGAGGGAGGAGGAAGACGACGACGACGACCACGACCACGAGGAAGAGGAGGAGAAAGAAAAGTATGACGATGAGGGCAAGGACGAGGACGAGGACGAGGACGAGGAGGAGGAGGAGGAGGAGGACAACGAGGACGAGAGTAGAGCCTTCAAAATCGCTTCTTGGAGCCTTCTTGGAGCTCTTTTGGAGGATCTCGGGGTCCTCTCGGGGCTCTTTTGGAGGGTCTCAGGGCCCTCTTGGGGCCCTCTTGGGAGTCTCCTGGGGGGTCTCTTGGAAGCCTTGGAGGGCCTCCTGGGGCCACCTTGTAAACCATCGATCAGAGGGGTGCTCCTCGAGTTTGGTCCCCCACCTGTGGCCATCAAAATCGCCTCTTTGGGCGCTCCTGGGGCCCTCTTGGGGCACCCTTGGGGCGCTAATGGGGCGTTCTTGGGGCCGCCTGAGGGGCCTGTTGGGCTCCTCTTGGGCCCCTCTTGGGGCCTCTCTTGGGCCATCTTGGGGCCATCTTGAGGCCTCACAAGCGCATCGGAAGCGAAAAGGCGAGAAGGTTCAAATCATTGACCTCCCTTAACTGTTCGAATGAGCTTGGCCTCTTGGGGTGGTACTGAGGGGGCTCCGAGAGCACTTGGAACCGTCTTGTGGCCCTCTTCGGGCCTCTTGGAGGTTTGTCGGAAGCTATCGAACCATCGTCGGCTTTCTTGTGCCACCTTGGAGGCCGTCTTGGAGCATCTGGCGCCCTCTTGAAGCCATCCTGGGCCATCCTGGACGCTCTAGTGATTCGCGAAGCCACCCAACAACATTTCAGGGAGGCGGGGGGGGGGGAGGAGGCAAACATTCCGAAGGGAAGAGGGTATTGGAAGAGGAACGACAGATACCGCTAGACCATTTTAGCCAAAAGGGCTGGTGGGATTATTGGCGTGTGCCCGAAGGATAGATAGTCCCCGAGATGGCGCAAGCTGGCCCAAGATGGCCCCAAGATGGCCCCAAGATGGCCGCAATATGGTCCCAAGATGGCCCAAGAGACGCCCAAGAGAGGCCCAAGAGGCCCCCCAGGCGGCCCCAAGAGCGCCGCAAGAGCGTCTCAAGAGGCGATTCTGACGGCCCCAGGTCGGGGACCACCATCGAGGACCACCCCACCCCCTGTTGAACGATGGCCTCCAAGATGGCCGGACCACCTCGGCCCAACGGGCGGGTGGGATCACCTGGCGCGCGCCCGAAGGATGGGCCCCGCCGGGGCTGGCGTGGCGCTCTGAGCCGCTTCCGCGATCCCGGGGGGCCGCCCTCCAGATCGGCGGGCTCTCGCGAGCCTTCGCCGCGCGCCGGCGCCCTCGCCGAGCAGGGCGTGGGCCTCCGTCGGCGGAGGGCCCCCCCCCGAAGGGTGCCCCCCCCCCCCCCCCTCCCGACGTTTCGAGCCCTCGGGATGCTCAAGAATTGCTCAGGAGGGAAAGAAGCCCACAGACGCAATGAATCGTCGTCGACTCCCAAGGAAAGATAGGAAAATATGGGAAGTGGGGGGGCGACGAAAACCCAGAGAATGCAGGAAAATATGGGGAATCCAGTTAGTTGTGTCCATTTATTTGTGTGTCTCTGGGCCCCTTCAATTGCGTCCGAAGCACTCTTTATGTATTCCTCAGGATTCCCAGGGATCCCTACGAAGGCTGAGGGCCCGCTCTGGGTGCTGGTCCGGGGGCCCTCCCAAGGAGCCCATCCGATTCCGACGGAGTCCTGAGGTCCCGTTCGAAAATTGTGACTTCCGCCGAATCCACGAAGAATGCGTAGTGAGTGTGTGTCCGTGGATCTACGGGACATTCTACATGTGTTTCGCAGATTCGATGGGGAATCGATTCATTTTGGCGTGCATCAGTTTTGTAGTCGATCTCCTAGTCGGCCTTTCGGCCTCCGAGGAAGGCCCGACGGCCCCGCAGGAATCAGGTCCGAGCTTACAGTCGGGGCGCTGAAGAAGGAACCCTTTTCGTTGGGGAGGGGCTCTGTGTTCCTTGAGTGTTTTGCAGTTTGCCGTAGGTTGTCCTAATGTTTTCCGTGGGAAATCGATGTTTAACCTATGAGAAAAAGGGGCCTCGTTCCTTGTTTAGGGTTCCTTAGGTCAACGCCCCGACTGTAGAGGTCTGCAGGTTTTCGTGCGTTTTCGTCTGTTCTCGGCGGCTCTCCAGCCGCGGGAAGCCTTCCAGTGGCTGCGCCTCGCCGGGGCGTTCCTGGGCTGCCCGGGTCGTCCCGAAGAGGCCGCCGGGGGCCCGAGTTATGACCCGACAGCCACCAGGGGACAGGCTCAGAGGGGGGATGCACTACAGTGGGGGCGCGCATCAAGAAGCCATATGCTTTTCGTCAGGGTAGCCTGGGTTTCTTCGCTCCTCGCGCTGCGCGGTGACTTCCCGCAGCCGTTGAAGGAGCTGCTGCGTTCAGGGTGCTCCAGGTTTCCCCTCAGGTGCACCTCGCGCACGGTTTCTCAGGGCTGGGTTTCTTGCGAGGGTTTCTTGCGGCCGCGCCCGCCCTGTAGCCCCTAGTCGCCCATTCGTCGCCGACGGGCAGCCCGAAGAGCCGCCGAAGAGGCTTCGGCGGACGACCCCGCCGCCTGAGTCTTTCTCGCGTGCGCGCGCGCGTGCGCAAGGCCTCCGTGAAGTTCGACCGCGCCTGGAGAGAGAGAGAGAGAGAGAGAGAAAGACTTGGCATCAGAGAGACTTGGCATCGCTCGGACGTGTGTATTTTTCTGGCGAGGGCCATCGAGGAGCATCTGGACCATCTCGCGAGCAAAAACACGCACGAAACCGACGACCGCATGGGGAATGGACGTCCGAGCGATGGCAAGGAGAGGGACGAACGATTTTCTGGCCCCGCCCGCGCGCACGCTTTTTCTTCTGGCTCGCAGGGCACGCAGGGTGGGGGGCTCAAGGGGACCACGGCCGAAGGGGGGGTGGGCGGGGACGGATCGGGAGTTGCATAACATGGGGGGATATACATGTCGAGCAGTGGCGAAGCGTCCTGGCTTGCCGATGGGCCCTCCAAATAATGTTTAAGAACCTGTTGTGGTTTCCAGGGACATGTTCGTAGAACATGTCTGGCCGAGACCGCCTGGTTTTATTACCTCGGTTGTATGTTCTAGGAACGGTGTTCGTGCTTTTCGAGCATTATTCTGCTTCCTAGGAACATGTCCTGGCAGGCTTACGGGAATGCCGGGACGGCTGGCCTCTGCTCAGAAATGGGCGGATGAAGACAGGTGGAGCTCTTGTGCACTCACTTCGGGGGCTCTAGAGGGGCCCCCCAAGGCCCAAGAGGGGCGCGAAGGAGGCACTCCTCTTCGCCCGCCCCGCCCCCCCTTGTCGCCACCCCCCCGCTGTGAGCAACGCCATAGGAGGGGGGGGAAACGTGCGGCTCGAGTAAGCCGGCGACGAGGGCCTCCAGGGAGGCCCAGACGCGGCAGGACGAGGGAAGGGTACTCCAAGCTTCTGAAGGAGCGTCGGGGAGGCGACACCCCCGCCGACAGCCCCACATCGGCCACCGTCGCGGGCAGCCACCGCGCGCCGACGGCGCTCCGACCCCCGTCGCGGCGCGACGACGAGGCGAGGTTGGCCCCCGTCGGGGGGGTACCCCCCCGACGCTTATGAAGCAACCCGGCGCAGCGGTGTCAGCACCTGGTGCCAGGAACCGGCGCCAGGGCCATCGCGACACGAGCCTGCCGTGCGCGGCCGCCGGGCTGCCAGCCCTCCGGCGGCCGGTCCCCCGCCAGGCGGCGGGCGCGAGACGGCCTCGCGAGCGCGGGCAAGCAGGGCAAGGCAGGCCTCGAGGCCCGCCGCCCCCGTGCGCGCCGGGGGAAGTTGCACCCCCCCCCTCAGCAGCCCTGCGACGAAGGCCTGGGAGGAGGAGGAGGAGGAGGAGGAGGAGGAGGAGCGAGGAGGGGAAGGAGCGAGGAGGAGAAGGAGGAGGAGGACTAGTGTAAACCCAGGAGTCATCAACGATGTTGGAATCAACCCTCCCTCCAAGCTCCCTCTCCATGGGCTCCTACAACGGTTCATTTCCATTGGGGGAATTGCCTCGTTGGAAGACAACCGTTTGAAGACCCTGAAGCATGCCAAAACATTGTTCTCGGGATGCCACCACCAAGGATCAACCTGACTGTTGCGTCTTGACAATCTTGAATCGTGCCAGATCGCCATTCTTGGGACTTGTACGCAGCGAATCAGCATAATTGTTGCACCCGCATAATCCATAGTCTTTTCAACACCATTTCTGGCACGTTGATGATGGGCATCCGTGAAACTCTTGCAACTGTTGTGCACGAATGTGCGCGGCGCTAAGGCGGGAGCTACATTTTGAAAAGGAGCCGCTCTCAGGCCGTGAAGCTTTTGCAAATGTTGAAAACGAATACGCGCCGCGCTCAGGCGAGAGCCACATTTTGAAAACCATCCGCCCTCAATCCGTGAAACTCTTGCAAATGTCTAAAACGAATGTGCGCCGGGCTCAGGCGAGAGCCACATTTTGAAAACGACCCGCCCTCAATCCGTGAAGCTCTTGCATATTTTAAACGAATGTGCATGGCGCTGAGGCGAGAGCCACATTTTGAAAACGACCCGCCCGCAATATGTGAAACTGTTGCCAATGTGTAAGCTTCGGAATCATACAAGGTGAGGAAGTGTCAGGCGAAACGTGCGGCCCTCCCTAAAAGCTGGTTTCGGGGTGCGATGGGGAGGAGTTATTCATAAGGAAAAGGAATGGAAGAGGAGGGGGAGGAGGAGGGGGAGGAGGGGGAGGAGGAGGAGGAGGAGGAGGAGGAGGGAGGAGGAGGCGGAGGCGGAGGAGGAGGTGGATGAGGAGGGAGGAGGATGAGGCGGAGGCGGAGGAGGAGAGGAGGAGGAGGAGGAGGAGGAGGACGAGGGGGGTAGGGGGAGGGGGAGGGGGAGGAGGAGGAGGAGGAGGAGGAGGAGGAGGAGGAGGAGCATGATCGACAAATGTACCGATACCGTGGCTCGTCCCGGGGAGGTCTTCTCTTACCCTCTTCATGACTCATAGTCTCCCTACAGCCTGTCATGGCTGTCTAATCTGATCACCCCCCCAGAGGGGGAGGCTCCGTTTGAACGACCGTTCAGCCACCAGGAACCAGGAACCAGGAGAATCGGCAAATATGCCGATACCGCGGCTCGTCCTGGATAGTCCTTGAAATTCTAGTCAGAACGCATCCTGGGAGCGGTCGGGAGAGTAGCGGTATTTGTACCTTTCTGTCCCCCCAGGGGAGGAGGAGGATGAGGAGGAGGAGGAGGAGGAGGACCAGTGTAAACCCAAGAGCCACCAACGATGTTGGAATCAACCCTCCCTCCAAGCTCCCTCGTCATAGGCCCCTACAAGGGTTCATTTCAACTGAGGGAACTGCCTCGTTGGAAGACAACCGTTTGAAGACCCTGAACCATGCCAAAATATTCTTCTCTGGACCCCAACGCCACTGGCCAACCTGACTGTTGCGTCTTGGCGATCCTGAATCGTGCCAGAAAGCCATTCCTGGGACTTCAGCACCGAGAATAAACGTAAGCGTTGCACCCTCATAATCGGGAAACTGTCCAAAACAAAATTTCTGGTACATTGACCATGGGAACCAGTGAAACTCTTGCAATGTTTGAAAAGGAACGTGCGCGGCGTTAAGGCGATGGCCACAGTTTGAAAATAAGCCGCCCTGAATCCGTGAAGCTCGTGCAATTTTTTGAAACGAATGTGCACGGCGATAAGGCGAGAGCCATAAGTTGGCAACCACCCGCCCTCAATCCGCGAAGCTCGTGCACATGCTTAAAACCAGTAGGCGCGCCGCGAAGGCGAGAGCCACATGTTGAACACCGCGCGTCCTCAATCCGCCGTGCAACTCTCGGCGTATCTGTTCTCAGCGAATGCGCGCCGCGCTCCGGCGAGAGGCAACTTTTGAAAGCCACCCGCCCTCCCTCTGTCTCTGTGAAGCGCCAGTGTGTAAGCTTCAGGGTCATGCATGGTGAGGAAGTCTCAGGCGAAGCGCCCCGCCAGCCCTGTCGCCCGGCCTCGGGGTGCGACAGGAATTGCTTTCATTTGGATATAAGGAAAAGGGGTAGAGGAGGAAGAGGAGGATGATGACCAATGTGAATCCAAGAGGCATCAACGATTTTGCCATACACCGTCTCTCCAAGTATCCTCGTCATAGGTCTCTACAAGAATTTGTTTCTTTTGCGTGCGTCCTGACAATCTTTCGTCATGCCAGCCCTGCGCGTCCTTCAAAGTGTTGCAAACTTTTTAGACACATGTGCGCGGCGCTCAGCCGATATCCACATTGTGAACACCACCCAACCTCTGTCCTTGAAGCAATTGTAGAGTTTTATACGCATGGGTGCGGCGCTCAGGCAAGAGCCACATTTTGACAACCATCCGCCCCCCATCCTGGAAACAGTTGTAACATTCAAGCTCTAGGACCCTCAATGGTGAGGATGTCTCAGGCGAAACGCCCAGCCCCAGCTACCGACACGCCTGAGGGTGCGACAGGGAGGGGTTGTTCATAGGGAAAGGGGATGGAGGAAGATGAGGAGGACGACGAGGAGGAGGAGGAATATGCCCTCCCCGTCCTCCCCCTCGAGAGGAGGAGAGGGGAATGAAGAGGAGGTCGATTATAAGGACAGGGGCGGAGAAGGAGGAGGAAGGGGTCCTCCGCCTCAGGAGAAACGGCAGGAGCAGGACACGGGGAGGAGGAGAGGGAGGAGGAGGAGGAGGAGGAGGAGGAGGAGGAGGAGGAGGAGGAGGAGGAGGAGGAGGAGGAGGAGGAGGGGGAGGACGAGGAGGAGCAGGACGAGGAGGAGCAGGAGGAGACGGAGGAGGAGGAGGAGGAGGAGGAGGAGGAGGCGGAGGGGTGTCGCATGCGTTGGCGCAAGCAGCCTCTCCAGGCTCTGGCGGTGGCTTTCGCATCCCACCAGCCTCGTCGCGTGTCGTGCTTCCCGCCTCCTTCGTCGCCGTCTGTACTGCTCGCGCTGGAGGACGGTGGTGGTGGTGGATGAAGATGAAGATGGTGATGCTGATGATGCTGCTGATGATGATGCTGCTGCGGATGATGATGATGATGCTGATGCTGGCGATGACGACGATGATGATGATGCTGCTGCTGATGGTGATGATGCCGATGATGCGACTGACGATGATGCTGCTGCGGATGCGTTATTGTGATGATGGCGATAACGACGATGATGTTGATGGTGCTGATGCTTATGACGATGATGATGCTGCTGATGCTGATGGTCATGATGCTGCTGATGATGATGCTGATGATGTCAATGACACTGATGCTGTTGATGATACGTGCATGATGGTGATGACGATGACGATGGCGACGATGATGATGATGATGGTGATGATGATGATGATGATGATGATGATGCTGAGGCTGATGATGGCGATGACGATGCGGATGATGACGATGATGGTGATGATGATGATGATGATGATGGTGATGATGATGATGATGATGATGCTGCTGATTAATATGATACAGGTCCTGATGGTGCTGATGCTGATGTTGGTGCTGATGATGCTGCTGATTATCATGGTGCTGGTGATGATGCTGATCATGGTGGTGGTGCTGATGATGAGGATGTTGACGATGATGATGATGCTGATGATGATGATGCTGATGATGATGATGATGATGATGATGATGATGATGGTGCTGATGATGGGAGAAACTGATGCGTAAGCTGATGATGATGATGATGATGCTGATACTGCTGATGACGATGCTGATGGTGGTGATGATGATGCTGATGCTGATGATGCTGATGCGGATGGTGATGATACTACAGTTGGGAGGGGGCGTGCCAGCAAACACACTGCTTGCCGCCAGGGTGCCTTGGGTGTCTTGTGTTCCGATTGCTGTGTTATAGAAAGCGTGACGTTCCCACACCACACATCAATGGACGTCCTGGGCTCTCGGGGTTTGGTGTCGGTTGGACGGTCTCATATGGACGGACATCCTTTGTACTGATGATGCTGATGATGATGCTGATGCGGATGATGATGCTGGTGATGATGAGGATCGTGATGCTGATGCTGCTGATGCTGATGCTGCTGCTGCTGATGGTGACGATGCTGGTGCTGATGCTGATGACGATGATGCTCGATGGTTATTAGGAGGAGGGGGAGGAGGAGGGGGAGGAGGAGGAGGAGGAGGAGGAGGAGGAGGAAGAGGAGGAGGAGGAGGAGGAGGAAGAGGAGGAGGAGGAGGAAGAGGAGGAGGAGGAAGAGGAGGAGGAGCAAGCGAGGATGGGGCTCCTCGGCTCTGCCCCCGTTTACGGAGGTGAACCTCCGTTCGCCCCTCGGGCTGCTGGCGCAGGAGGGCGCAGGTGGGAACGGGGGGGCGGTTGGAGCGGTGGCGCGGACACAGCGGCCGTGCTCGAGAAGGCAGGCATGGGGAGGGAGAAGGGGGAGGACGAAGAGGGAGTGCAGGACACAGGGAGAGGGGAGGCGAGGGAGGAGTCAGGATGGAGAGGACGAGAGCAGAGGAAAGGGGCGAGCATCCGGGAGGGGAGGATGGAGAGGTGGAGGGAGGAGCACCGAACGAGCGTGATCAGTAAGGACGCGAGAAGTATGATGTATATGACGAGGTGGCGATCAGGATCATTATATTATTGTTGGTGATGATGATGATGATGATGACGATTAAGATGACGATGACGATGAAGATGACGATGATGATGATGATGATGATGATGATGATGATGATGATGATGATGATGATGATGATGATGATGATGATGATGATGATGCTGATGCTGATGCTGATGCTGATGCTGATGCTGATGCTGATGCTGCAGATGATGATGATGACGATGATGTTGATGATGATGATGATGATGATGATGATGATGATGATGATGATGATGATGATGATGATGATGATGATGATGATGATGATGATGATGATGATGCAACTGCTGATGCTGGAAATGATGCTGCTGGTGATGGGGATGAGGATGACGATGATGCCGATGACGACGATGACGATGTTGCTGCTGCTGCTGCTGATGATGATGATGATGATGATGATGATGATGAGGATGATGATGAGGACGATGAGGACGATGCTGATGATACTGATGATACTGATGATATGATACGGATGGTGACGGTGCTGATGATGCTGCTGGTGCTGTTTCTGATGTGCATGTATGTGTGTTGACATACATTGTAGATGCGCGGTTTTGAAGCTCGCCCCCAGGCCCCTGTCTCAGTTGAGAGCCAATCCTGCTTCTCCCTCGAGGGCCGACCCTCCTTTCTTGCGCTCTTCTCCCTGGAGACTCGACGCTCCTGACCCCCCCCCCCGGGTACCCCTCTGGGTCCAGTCGGTTCCGCCCGAGTCCATTCGGCTGCGGAGCCGACCTGGGATCGCCTCCGCTCGGCTGCCGAACCGGGCCGCCGAGTTCCCGCCGTCCTCTTGGGAATTGAGCCCAGTCGATTGCCCGATCGGAGGCCGAATTGGGCGCCGACGCCGAACAGGAGCCCTGGTGTATACAGTCTTCTGGAGCCACGAACCTCTGTGGAGTATGGAGAAGCAGTAGGAGAGGGAGGGGGAGGGGGGAGGGGGAGGGGGAGGGGGAGGGGGAGGGGGAGGAGGAGGAGGAGGAGGAGGAGGAGGAGGAGTGGAGGAGGAAGAGGAGGAAAAAGAGAAGGAGGAGGAGGAATAAGGAGGAGGAGGAAAAGGACCAGTGCAAACCCAAGATGCGTCGTCGATGTTGCACTAAGCCCAGTTCCCCATTCATAGACAACCGTCTGAGAATCCTCAGTCGTGGCGAAACACCGTTTCTTGCACTTCAACGACGCGAATCAATGTGACTGTTGTGTGCTGCCAATCCTCCAATCCTAGCTTGTGCCAGAACGCAAGTCCCGCGACTTCAAGACCGCGAGTCAATGTTACTGTCGCGTTCTGACAACCTTTAGCCCTGCCTGGACACCATTACTTGGACTTCAACCGTGCGAATTCTTGGAACTGCTGCGCGCGGCGCCAGGGCGGGCGCCGTGCTTTGAAAAGTAGCCGCTCTCCATCTTTGAAGCTGCTCCAGTAAGCTTTCGACATGAATGTGCGCGGCGCGAAGGCACTGCTGCAAACGGTCCGGCGATCGTGCGCGGCACCGAGGCGAGAGGGCAAATTTGAAAAGTACCAACACGCCATCTTTCAAGCTGCTGCGACCGTTCAAAACAACAGTGGGCGGCGATAGGGCGGGAGCCACATTTTGAAAACTACCCGCCCTCCATCCTTGAGACTGGTGTACTGAAGAGGAATGTGCGCAGCGCGGAGGCGGGAGCCATATTTTTGAAAAAAGACCCGCCATCCGTTCTTGAAATAGTTGTAAGTCTGAAGGTTGAGGATCATACACGGTGAGGAAGTCCCATGCGAACCCCCCTGCCCGCCCTAAAGACACGTCCGGGGGTGCGACAGGGAGGAGTCGTTCATAAGAGCCTGAGATGGGGGAGGAGGAGGAGGAGGAGCAGGAGGAGGAGGAAGGGAAGGAGGAGGAGGAGGAGGAGGAGGAGAAGGAGGAGGGGAGGACCAGGAGGAGGAGGAGGAGGCGGAGGAGGAAAAAGGGAGAAACGGAAGAGGACGGGAGGAGGTGGATGTGGAGGAGGAACATGTGAGGAGGAGGAGGAGGAGGATAAAGTGAGGAGGGGTCGGGGATATGCGGGAGAGGAGGGAAGGAGAAGAGGATCAGGAGGAGGCGGAGGAGGCGGAGAAGGAGGAGGAGGAGGAGGAGGAGGAGGAGAGGGAGGAGGAGGAAGAACAAGAGAGGAGGAGGGGAGGAGGAGGAGGAGGAGGAGGAGGAGGGGAGGGGGCAGGAGAGGAGGACGGGGAGGAGATCGGAGGAAGGAGGAGGGGGCAGGAGGAGGAGGAGGAGGAGGAGGAGGAGGGAGACGGATCTGTATCCTCGAGGCCACAGACGACTTCAGCACGGCGGCCACAGCGTCGCCGAGCAACCTCAGCGGCCGGCTGTCGCACGACACGCCCCAGAGCCACTGGGGCGGGGCCACCGCCAGCAGAGCGAGCCCTTCCGGACCGCCGCAGGCGAGCCCATGGGGGAGGGCTTCCACCGACCCTCCTCATCGTCGTCCTCGTCCTCCTCGTCCCCCTCGTCCTCCGTCTCCTTATCCTACTCCTCCTCCTTCTCCTTCTCCGCCTCCTCCTCCCCTCGTCCTCCTCCTCATCCTCGTCGTCCTCCTCCTCCTCCTCCTCCTCATCATCTTCCTCCTCCACCTCATCCTCTTCATCCTCCGCCTCCACCTCCTTCTCCTCATCCTCCTCCTCCTCGTCATCGTCTTCCTCCTCCTCGTCCTCCTCGTCTTTCTCCTCCTCCTTCTCCTCCTCCCCTCCCCTCCTCCGCCTCCTCCTCCTCCGCCTCCGCCTCCTCCTCCTCCTCCGCCTCCTCGTCTTTCTCCTCCTCGTCCTCCTCGTCTCCTCTCCTCCTCCTCCTCCTCCTCCTCCTCCTCTTCAGCCTCCTGCTTCTCCACCTCCCCCTCCTCCTCCTCCTCCTCCTCCTCCTCCTCCTCTTCATCCTCCTGCTTCTCCACCTCCCCCTCCTCCTCCTCGGCGCTGCGCTCCCAAGGGCTCGCGTGCATGGACGAGGAGTTCGACAGGGTGCAAAAGGAAGCAGCGGCATACGCATGGACGGAGTGGGGGATCGATCTCGTGCTCCCCTCGGCGGAGTACCACTCGAAGGAGGAGACGGTGAAGGAGAACCCCTTGCGGGAGGAGAAGGAGGAGGAGAAGCAGTCGCCCAAGAAGAATAACCGCTGGAGCAGGCACCCGACGCCATCAACCTGAACGTGCAGGGCGACACCGACGACTACCAGAGCCTGGACAAGACGTTCGCGGCTTGGCGTCGAGTGGCAGTTGGACTTGGCGAAGACTGGCAGTCAGGAGAGGACGACGGTGACGCAGGTGTGCACGCAGATGGCGGGGACGGAGAAGAGGAGGAGAGCCTTGAGAGCATCGTGGCCTTCCAGGCCGCTGGCTGTCACCGCTCGGTCGCTCGTCTTCCCCGTGCGTGGAGGGATGGCCCCCTTCTTCGGCGCGGCGTGGGCGCGAGGCGGGCCCCCTCAGCCTGCGCGCCAGGGCCCGTCGATTGGGCCGCCTCATCAGAGCCCTCAGAGCCCTCCTCCTCTTTCTCCTCCTCCTCCTCCTCCTCCTCCTCGTCCTCCTCTTCCTCCTCCTCCTCTTCTTCCTCCTCCTCCTGCTCCTCCTCCTTCCTCTTCCTTCTCTCCGGCGGGCGAGGCCCGCGTTTGGTGCCCCCAGGGGCTGGTCTCGGAGGCTCGGCGCCAGCGTGTGGGTCCTGGCCCTTTGTGCTCCGACTTACCCGTGCTGACCCTCGGAGCCTGGCTCGTGTGAGCCTGGCTCGTGTGGCTCGGTTTCTGCTTGCTCGTTCGCGTCTCCCTCTCCTTCCTCCTCCTCCTCCTTCTCCTCCTCCTCCCCCTCCTCCTCCTCCTCCTCTTCCTTCTCTTTTTCCTCCTCTTCCTCCTCCACTTCCTCTCCTCTTCCTCCTCCTCCTCCTTCCTCCCCCTCCTCCTCCTCCTCCTCCTCCTCCTCCTCCTCTTCATCCTCCTGCTTCTCCACCTCCCCCTCCTCCTCCTCCTCCTCCTCCTCCTCCTCCTCCTCCTCCTTCTCGGCGCTTCGCTCCCAAGGGCTCGCGTGCATGGACGAGGAGTTCGACAGGGTGCAAAAGGAAGCTGCGGCATACGCATGGACGGAGTGGGGGATCGATCTCGTGCTCCCCTCGGCGGAGTACCACTCGAAGGAGGAGACGGTGAAGGAGAACCCCTTGCGGGAGGAGAAGGAGGAGGAGAAGCAGTCGCCCAAGAAGAATAACCGCTGGAGCAGGCACCCGACGCCATCAACCTGAACGTGCAGGGCGACACCGACGACTACCAGAGCCTGGACAAGACGTTCGCGGCTTGGCGTCGAGTGGCAGCTGGACTGGGCGAAGACTGGCAGTCAGGAGAGGACGACGGTGACGCAGGTGTGCACGCAGATGGCGGGGAAGGAGAAGAGGAGGAGAGCCTTGAGAGCATCGTGGCCTTCCAGGCCGCTGGCTGTCACCGCTCGGTCGCTCGTCTCCCCCGTGCGTGGAGGGATGGCCCCCTTCTTCGGCGCGGCGTGGGCGCGAGGCGGGCCCCCTCAGCCTGCGCGCCAGGGCCCGTCGATTGGGCCGCCTCATCAGAGCCCTCAGAGCCCTCCTCCTCCTTCTCCTCCTCCTCCTCCTCCTCGTCCTCCTCTTCCTCCTCCTCCTCTTCTTCCTCCTCCTCCTGCTCCTCCTCCTTCCTCTTCCTTCTCTCCGGCGGGCGAGGCCCGCGTTTGGTGCCCCCAGGGGCTGGTCTCGGAGGCTCGGCGCCAGCGTGTGGGTCCTGGCCCTTTGTGCTCCGACTTGCCCGTGCTGACCCTCGGAGCCTGGCTCGTGTGAGCCTGGCTCGTGTGGCTCGGTTTCTGCTCGCTCGTTCGCGTCTCCCTCTCCTTCCTCCTCATCCTCCTTCTCCTCCTCCTCCCCCTCCTCCTCCTCCTCCTCTTCCTTCTCCTCCTCCTCCTCGTCCTCCTCCTCTTCCTTCTCTTTTTCCTCCCCTTCCTCCTCCACTTCCTCCTCCTCCTCTTCCTCCTCCTCCTTCCTCCCCCTCCTCCTCTTCCTCCTCCTTTTCTTCTTCCTCCGCCGCCTCTTCATCCTCCTCCCTTCTCTCGCTTCCGTGCGGCATATTTGGATGGGTGTTCGAAGCGGTGCCCCCGTTTCAAGACGGTGGAGGTGACGCATTTGAGGTTGACCCGCCTGGGGACTCAGCCGATAGGTCCAACTCGTCGTGGGAATCTCCTACCTCCTCAGATCTGGATAAACAACGACGCGCGGCGCGGCCAAGCCATCTTTGGCCGACAGAAGTAGGTATTCAAGCAATGGCCGTGTTCGAGGATCCAGCGGCGATGCTGGATGCGCAGTTCGCGGCGATCTGGCAACCTCTAAGTGACGCCATGGCCGATGATGACCTTGCGCACCTACAAAGCATCTCTCCTGCTACGTGCTGGTCTGCGGTGGGTTCCCATAACCCAGTACGTACCTGTCGCTGGCAAAGCGGGGCCGCCAATGACCGCACTTCAGCGCCTCGAGCATGCCTCACCATTCTTGCTCAACGCGTTCATCCGAAGGAGAAGGAGGTGTTCACACAGCAGTGCGCGATGCAGCCTTCCTCCTCCTCAAAACCCGGTGGACGACTCCTCGGATGACGGTGATTCGAGGCCTTCCTCAACGCGTCGTGGGTTCCGTGCCACAGTTGGCAGGCCTTTTGGTAAACTCCCTCTTGCTGACGGTGGTGATGCTCATGGCCCAGATCCTGCTCCCCTTCGGGCGAAGAGAACTATGCACATGCACCGATCCTGGCAAGGCCCATCCTTGACCCAGGATCGGTGCATATGCCTTCCTGGCCAAGGTCGAGGGCGTATGCACCGATCCTGGGCTCAGGATGGGCCTGGCCAGAATCGGTGTATGTGCATAGTTCTCTTTCCTCTATCTCCTGGGGCAGCGTCGCCTCGGCCAGCAGATGTCAGAGCGCCGGGTCTGGGGGCAGGCCTCCCGGGTTCGCAGTGGCCGTTCCGCAGCAGGAGGGCACGGGCAGCCGGCCCTCTTGGCGCTCGGGTGCAAAATCCCAGGCTTGACCCAGGGTCGTCGTCGTCACTCAAGCAGTGGCGAAGCGTCCTGGCTCGCCTATAGCTCTACCAAACAATGTTCTAAGAACCTCTTGTGGTTCCCACGAAATGTTCTTAGAACATTCCTGGTTGGGGCTGTCTTGGTTGATCACATCGGGTTTGTGTTCTAAGAACATTGTTTTTGTTCTTAGAACCTTTTTGGGTTCTGAGAACATTTCGTGGTAGGACTATAGGAATGCCAGGACGGTCGGTCCCTGCTCAAAGGGTCGTCGTCGTCACAGTTTCTGGTGAAGCCAGGCGCCTGTCTGTACAATCCTGGGGATGGCCTCCCAGGTTCGACGTCGCCGTTCTGCGGGACTCCTGAAGCGGAGTCCTCTGGCAATGATCCGCCTGAGCATGTGCCGTAGGGTGGCGGCACTACTCCCTGCTTGGCACAGGACGTTGCCTTCCCAGATCACCTTCCTGATGCAGCTGAGCCGGATGGAATCGTGATCGAGGAGCCCGCGTTCCTTGATCTCCAGCTGCAGGTCGACATGGGCGGCATTGGAGATCCTGCGGGGCAGCCAGCTGGCCTTCACGAGCGGCCTCAAAGGTGCGGCATCACGCGTCGTCGTGGGGGCCCCGAGATGGACTCAGACCGTCTGTCTCGGCAGGGCTCGGGCGCCCTGAGCCTGCAGTTGTGCAGGGGCAGGCACACGCGAACGACTCAGAGAGTACGTCCTCGTTCCTCCACGGGAGCGGCCCCGCGGGCAACGACGTCCACCAGCTCGGCGACCCCACTGACGACCCCGAGCGTGCCTTCGAGCCATCGAGACCTTCGAGGTAACGCGGGCTCTTTCGCCCGCGCGGGCGCGGGCGGCGGCGGGACGCAAGGAGGCGCGTCCCCCCCCACCCCACCCCGAACGCTGGACTCCTCCTCTTCCTCATCCTCCTCCTCCTCCTCCTCCTCCTCCTCCCTCCTCCTCCTGCCTCCTCCTCCTCCTCCCCCTCATCTCCTCCACCTCCTCCTCCCTCCTCCTCCTCCACCTCCTCCTCCGCCTCATCCTCCGCCTCATCCTCCATCTCCTCCTCCTCCTCCTCCTCCTCCTCCTCCTCCTCCTCCTCCTCCTCCCAACTCCTCCCAACTCCTCCACCGCCGAATCATGGGCCTCCAATGGGGGGCTGGCGCGCCCGTCCGTGGAGCAGAGCACCCTGGAGTGACCATCTTGAGCCATGGCCCGTCCCCGCTGCCGGCGCTCCCGGCGCAGCCCTGCCGTCACCCCTGGTACAGTCCTCCTCTTCCGAGCGCGGGTTCGGCCCCAGCCCGCTGGGCCCCACGAGCCAGCGCCACTGCCGGCCACGCGCAGAGGAGGAGGGGGGACAGCTTCTCAGAACCAGGCGGAGGAGGAGGAGGAGGAGGAGGAGGAGGAGGAGGAGGAGGAGGAGGAGGAGGAGGAGGAGGGGGTGGATGAGGAGGGGGGTGGAGTGGGTGGAGGAGGAGGAGGAGGAGGAGGAGGAGGAGGAGGAGGAGGAGGAGGAGGAGGAGGAGGAGGAGGAGGAGAGGAGCGAGCAGGAAGGCCAGAGGCCTCATGATGGTCTCTTGGAAGCCTCTTGGGGGCATCTTTGGTGCCTCTTGGGGGTCTCTTGGGGCCTCTTGGGGCCTCCTGGGCGCCTCTTGGGGCCGTCTTGTGAGACCCTTGGGACCCTCGGGGGCCATCTTGGGATCATCTAAGCGGAGATCGATCAAAGGACGGGCCGTAGTAAATTACGCGCCCCCCCTTCCGGGTGAGGCCAAAATGTGGCCGAAACCCTAGTCAAATCAATGACTTTGGCCTTTCGCCGAGGCCGTCTTGGATGCTCCAACGCCTCCCGAGAAGCACCCTCCAAACCCAGGGGGAGGGGGGAGAGGGAGGGGTAAACCGTAAACCCTTTCCCGGAGGGGAAAGAGGGGGATTGGAAGAGGAAAGGCTCTAATCCACTCACGCCCTAAAGGTCTGGTGGGACTATCTAGTCCACACGTCCGCCCCGTCTGATATGAAACGACGCTCGCGCGGCGATGCCCCGACGTAAGTCTGACGTGATACCGACGTGAATCGACGTGCGTCCGATGCTAGTCCGATGCGGATCCGACGTGCGCTGGGTCGCAAATTGCCGCGCGAGGCATCCAGGATCAACCTCATAACTCCCTCGCCCTCCCCCTCCCTCGCCCCTCCCTCCCTTCCTCCTTCCCTCCCTCCCTCCCCAGCCACACCGTCTGGAGGAGGAGAGACGTTCTGTCTCAATGCACTTGGTGAGTAGCTCCCCCCCTCCCTCCCTCCCTCGCCCCTCATTCCTCTCGGCGTCCTCCCTCCCCGCTTGCCTCGGTGACGGCGCCCAACTCCGCCCCCATAGGCAACCGCACCCGCCGCTGCCGATCGGCGCGCGCCGGCGCCGCTGGCAGGGCTGGCGTCTGGGGCTCGGACAGCCATTCCTCGACCCCTGTCGCCTCCCCCTCCTCGGCCTCCTCTTCCTCCTCCTCCTCCTCCTCCTCCTCCTCCCCATCCTGGTCCTTGCGAGGTCAGGGCCTGGTCAGGGGCGCTGCTTTTTTGTCAGACTTTGTCTGGAGGCCCGCAATCCCCCGCAATCCCCCTCCTCCCCCTCCTCCTCCTCCTCCTCCTCCTCCTCCTCCTCCTCCTCCTTTTCCTCCTCCTCCTCCTCCCGTCGCTGTCGCTGATGTCTTTGGGGTCTGTCACAGGCGCAGACCCCCCCCCCCCCAGGGGCGAACGTCGCCGCTGCGGGGGTGAACAAGAGGTGCAAGAAGAAATGATAAGTGGTCTCGCCCCCTGGCTTGTGGCCCACGTGGGGGTCTTATCTGACGACCGCCTCGCAGGGCCCCGTTTGGGGCCCTGCATGGCCCCGAGTCTGGCACGCCCTGCTTGGCGAGGGCGTGCGCCCAGGCCGCCCGTGGCCACGGCCCCTTCTCCTGTCGCTGTCTCCTCTTGCTGTCGCTGTCCCCGTCCCCCCTGGTGGCGCGCGGGGCCGTTGCCGCGGCTTGCGGCGGGCCCCGCCTCTGGGCCTCTCCAGGCCCTCGAACCTCTTGCCGGAGTTCCGGTTGTCGGTGTCCTTGCGGTGGGAGTGTGCGCTGTCGATGGGTGGTGGTGGAGGTGGTGGTCGCGGGGAGGGCGTCGGACTGGTTGCGAGGTGGGGGGCGCGTCACAAGCGGCGGTCCATGAGTGGACCCGGCCCGTGCCAGGGGCCGGCTGCCTACGTTCTGCTCCTCCGCCTTCTCCTCCTCCTCCTCATCCTCCTAGCCCCTTTCCCTCGAGAGTTTCGAGGGAGGGCGCGCGTGAAGGGGGTGCAGCGCGCCCGAGCCGCCATGGCATGAGATTCCTCCTGCCCCGGAACCTCTTCGGCGAGGAGGTCAACGCGCTCCTGGTGGACCTGGACCTGAAGATCCAGCGTGCGAGGCCAGGGGCGGCGTTGACCGTGGAGCTGTTCAATGGTGGATTCCCGCTCGGCTGGGCCGTCGGCAATGGCTACGTTTATCAGTCCGGGGTCTGGCTCCCACATGACGCTCAGTCCTCCCCACGCGGTCATGGACCTGAGCTACGGGCCGCTCAGTCGCAACAAATTCATGGGCCTGTCGAGTGTGGACTTGGGCTATGGGCTGTTTCGGATGAGGGATTCGGGCATGCAGGAGCGGTCCCCGCAGCCCTCGGCAGTGCGCGAGCAGATGGACAAGTTTAAGGCTGCCGTCTTGGCGAGCCGGGCGACTCGGCTCTGGACACCGCCGAGGTCAGCAAGGCCGCCGCCGGCCTTGGCAGCTCGGTGGAGTCAGGCAGCCGCCTGCCGTGCGGCAGGCCTTCAGGATGGCAAAGGGGGAGCAGGCCTACGAGGAGAAGGAGGAGAAGGAACTGCACCTCGCGCAGAAGGAGAGCAGCTCGTGAGCTTCGCGAACAAGGTGGAGAAGCAGAAGGAGAAGGGCCAGACCCACGTCCGCAAGTGTCGGTGCCTGCGTCCAAGCCGCCGCCACGCCAACTTTGGCCTCAGGGCGGAGTGCCAGAAGTGCAGCGCGCTGGCCCCTGCGGGAGTCTTGGCCCCACAAGACCAGCGGCAGGAGCAGAAGGCCTTGGAAACAGAGGTGGAGCAGCGAGCCCTAAAGGAGCTCAAGACCACGCTCTGGGAGCGCAGCAGGATGCTTCGCGAGGAGAGGCTGTCGCTCGCGGGGGACACGAGGATGCTGCTGGAGGCGCGAAAGGAGATGGAGGAGGAGAAGGTGAAGGAGACGGTGAAGGGTTTCCAGTCGGACCCGGATCGGATGCTCGCCGACACGACGCACTACCAGGGCAATTTGAAGGAGCTGGGCACTGCACGCGCTGCAACGACGGGGCGGAGTCGTTCGCCCAGCGTTCTGTGTCGAAGGAACCGCTGGACACGTCCTCTCCCGCGACGGGCTACGCCTGTGGCGAGCAGTATTTCATAGGGGACTGCGGTGGGAGGAATGCTGAGTGGGACGCCGACTTCGATGGCGACGCTTACCTTCGCATGCTGGGTAAACGGCTCCGCTTCCAGGACCTTCTTCACGGGTTGGGCGGCTGAGATCAGCAACAAGCAGGGCGTTTTCAAGAAGGGCAAGCACAATAAGGACATGAAGGACAAGAAGGGTCGTCGTGAGGGTACCTCAGGGGCTGGAGATGGCCCTCACCGCAAGGCGAGGGCCAAACAGAAGCCCCAGGCAACGGTTGAGGCGCCCTCGACCCTCACCCAGGAGATGTTCAATGAGATGGGCATGTAACTGCTAGATCTCCTTGGCAGGGATAAGCGCGCCTGGGCGTCCCTGTGCAGGAGTTCCAGGGCGTGAGCGGCAGGTGCAGGTAGGTGCGGTTGACGTTTCCTCGTCGCCTCGCGGGCTCTGCGTCGAATTCTGGCCCGCGTCTTGTTGGCGGCGTGCGCGTTTTGCTCGCTTCCTCGTCGCCATGCTGGACCCCGCTCGACGTCGGGCATTGGCTCGGCAACCGCGCTGCGGCGTTGGTCCGCGGCGCTTTGGCCAGCGCGCCAGCGTCCAGTGACACAGGCAGTATCATCAGCACTCTCAGCACCCTGCTCATCCTCCTCATCCTCTTCCTCTTCTTTCTTATCATCCTCCTCCTCTTCCTCCTCCTCCCTTCCCTCCTCCCCCTCCTTTTCCTCCTCTTCCTCCTCCTCCTCCTTCTCCTTCTCGTTCTCCTTTTCCTTTTCCTTCTTCTCCTTTTTCTCCTTCTCCTCCTTCTCCTCCTCCCCTTCCCTCTCCCCCTCACTCTGCCCCCACCCCCCCCTGGCGGAGGCCTGGCCTGGTTTCGCGTGCGACTGGCCCATCGCAGGAGTATTTTTTTCCAGGCGATCTCTCGCCCCCAGTCCCCCAGCTCCCCCGAAGAAATGGGCCACGCAAGAAAAATCAAATAATTATTGACGCTTCGCATGTCCCCACCGGCGTTGCTCGCCTCTTTGTTTTTCCTTTAGCTGTTGGCACGGCATGCCCCTGCTTGCACGGCGTTCGACCCGCTTCGCGCGCCCGCGTGCCAAAAAATATTCCCACCAGCCCGTACAGACACGACCGGAGGTGCCCTGAGGCCTTTTGGGGGGCTATCGTGAGCCGTCTTCGGCCAGAGTCTGTCGGAGGCTATCCTGACCCATGCTCAGCTATCTTGCGACCCTTCGGAGGTTTGTCGGATGCTACACGATTGGGAACTCGGGGATACATCCGTGTGGGGCCATTCGGACGTACCCCCATCGAGGATGGACGTTCCCCTCCCCCCATTACTGAGGGGAATCCAGAGAGCAATAACCTCAAAAGACCAAGCTTTGAGGGGTTCGTGCGGATTTCTTGGATCGGCGCTGGACGTCTTTTGGTGGCGGCCTCCGTTGCCGCCCCTTTGCGCGCTCCGCGCGCCAAGGAGGGGGCCCAGCGCCGATCCAGGAAATCCGCGCGGACTTCTGACAATGGTTCCTTGACGCCAGCTGCCATTCGCCTGGGAGTCATCCTCTGTGGGCCCGCGGGTTTGCCCATCTCGCCGCTGAAAGTCGATGCGATGGCGGCGGCTTGCGCGCTTTGGCTTTGTCCCCCCCCCCCCCAATCCTTGCCCTCCCGCGGCTGTTTCCCGAAGGTCCACTCTTGCCCAGGGCCACCCAGGACCTGGGCGGCAGGGCTCGCTCTCGTGAAGACGCAACATTCGGCGGCGAGCGAGGGGGGGAATGAGGAGGACAAGGCCTTCTCAGAAGGCGGCGGGGCTTCTCAGAATGTCTCTGGCTTTAGTGGGCCCCGGAAACGGCAGGGCCGTTTTTTCACCGTTTCCAAAAACATGTCTCTTGAAAATGGGAGCGGCAAAAAAAGGTGACCGGAAACGGCAAAAAACGTCTCCAGGATTGGAACCGGAGCCGGAACCATTCAAACATCGGCGACGGAACCGGTAAAACAACGGCGTCGGAATTGGTCAAAAAACGGCAAAACGGAACCGGTAAAAAACGGCCCTGCCGTTTCCAGGGCCCACTGAGTCTCCTGGCCTTCTGAGAGGTGTTTGTTTGCATATTCGGGGGGGAGCTTAGAAACGTTCTCAGGAGACTGGGGGACTTCCGAGCCTTCTGAGAAGGCCCGCCCCCTTCCACTTTCCTCCTGGCTTGGCCGCCGAAACGTGTTGTGAGCGAAGATGGGGCCCCTAGTGTTGTTCGCCTTGCCGTGTGGCCATGGTGCTGGAATATGGGCCACTGTGGTTTCAGTTTGGGTTCTGGTTGTCGGGTCGCTCGTTAATTCTAGGCATAAGTCGAGCCTGTCCCTCTACAGGGGGAATATTCAAAAATGTTTAAAAAATAGTCAGGGGATTATGTTTTTAGTATGTTTGGGCATCTTTTGGGTATGTTTTGCGTATTTTTGAAATGATTCGCCCCAACATCCCCCTGTAGGTGGACACGCCCGACTTAATTCTAGGCCACGGGCCCTCTTCGTGACCGAGGCTCGCCGTGGCCCGAGAAGCCCCACCATTCTTCACTCAACGATCGTAACGATTTCTACAGTGGAGGCCCATGCCAAGAAACGCCCTGGGTTTCTTGGGCTTCTTGGGCTTCGCTGGTTTTGTGATGGAGAGCGCGACGTTCCGACGTCCTGGGGTCTCAGAGTTGGGTTCTTGGTGGAAGGTTTCTTGTGGACTAGCCTCCACTGTGTGGTAACCGCGGGAGCGGTTTCATGCTGCACCTCCCCCCAAAGCTCTTGGCTGGCAACCAGGCCCCCCCGGTTCGCCCTGTACTTCTCCTTCTCCTCCTGCTCCTCCTCCCCCTCGCG